CTTTTTCTTGTTACAATTTATTTCATAATATTTTCTGTTTGTTTAAAACAGCTGTTATAATAGGTCCTGATGGACAACCCTTAACCGTCTACCCTTGTCACATATGTGGGAAAAAATTTAAATCCAGGGGATTCTTGAAAAGGCATATGAAAAACCACCCAGATCACATGATTAAGAAGAAATACCAATGCACAGACTGTGATTTTACAACTAACAAGAAAGTAAGCTTTCATAATCATTTGGAAAGCCATAAGCTCATCAACAAAGTTGACAAAACGCATGAATTCACAGAGTACACCAGGCGATACAGAGAAGCAAGCCCACTGAGTTCAAATAAACTGATCTTAAGGGACAAGGAACCTAAATTGCACAAGTGCAAATATTGTGACTATGAGACAGCAGAACAAGGACTGCTTAATAGACATCTGCTTGCGGTTCACAGCAAGAACTTCCCTCATGTTTGTGTTGAGTGTGGGAAAGGATTCCGCCATCCTTCTGAGCTCAAAAAGCATATGAGGACCCACACAGGGGAGAAGCCTTACCAGTGCCAGCATTGTGTCTTCCGTTGTGCTGATCAGTCCAATTTGAAGACACACATCAAAACCAAGCATGGTACTGACCTGCCCTTTAAATGTGAACATTGTCCGCAGGCATTCACAGATGAGAAAGAACTCCAGCAGCACACAGAGTTGTTTCAAGGGCATAAGACTCATCAGTGCCCACATTGTGACCACAAGAGCACCAACTCGAGTGACCTGAAACGGCACATAATATCTGTTCACACAAAGGACTTTCCTCACAAATGTGAGGTGTGTGAAAAAGGTTTCCACCGTCCATCGGAGCTCAAGAAGCACAGTGAAACGCATAAAGGTAAAAAGGTACATCAGTGCAGGCACTGTGACTTTAAGACTTCAGATCCTTTTGTACTTAGTGGGCATATTCTCTCAGTTCACACTAAGGACCTGCCTTTCAAATGCAAAAGATGCAAGAGAGGATTTAGGCAACAAACTGAACTGAAGAAGCACATGAAGACCCACAGTGGAAGGAAAGTCTATCAATGCCAGTATTGTGAGTATAGCACTACAGATGCATCAGGCTTCAAGCGGCATGTCATATCAATACACACAAAAGACTATCCGCACAGGTGTGAGTACTGCAAAAAGGGATTCCGTAGACCATCAGAGAAAAATCAGCATATAATGAGGCATCACAAAGAGGCCCTAATGTAACATATGAGCTGTAGAAGAAAACGGTTTAGAAACTGTGATCTGCTTAATTGGGGAAGAAAACTCTCATGAACTGTTTCTCCTGGTTTCAAAGCTTGATATTAAATCATAACTTTACATTCTTTGTATTACAAGTCTTTAAAAGTATTAGGGTTGACAGGGGATCTCATAGCCCTATGATTGTTGCTCATCAAAACCTAAAGAACACTATAAAATGCAGAGATGAATGTTTGAAAAGCTGCGGAAAGAGACCTTGAATGTCTTCTGTTTAAAGTGTTATATATAATTAAGCTAAAGAAAATACTAAGACCGTTATCTTAGCCCTTTATCAATAACGCCATTTATATCCTTAATGAAAACTGGGGGTGGGAGTTTTTAGAAATGTTTGCTATGGCAAGTCTACAATATGCAGGTAGAAGTCAGTTGCTTTGTCATTACATTTTTTAACTGTGCTGGGAAACAAGAATTGGTTAGATTTTGAGATCTGTCTTTTTTGTTGTTGTTAAAGCAAACATACATTTCACCAGGAAACATAGTTTCCTTCCTTTATTTAGGTTCAATGAGCAATATTTAAACTTTTTTTTTCCAGAGCTGCTGACCTATGTTATCGCAGGATATGGTGTTAAAAATACAGCATTGTTTTTGAGCTCAAAAGGTGTTGTTCAGTACTAGGATTGAAGATGTGTGTGTATATAATTTCCCTTTTTATCTGAAAACTGCAGTTGAATGTTCAGTATGGCACATATAAAAAAATTACCTTTTGGCCGATCTAATTATTATAATATTTTTGAAAAAGAATAAAAAATTAATGGCTGCGGCTGTTGGTGCTATGATTTGGCACTGTTTTTCTTGCTATTTTACTGTTTTCCTTTTTCAAAAAAGAGTATCAAGATTACATTAGTTGGAAATGCCTAGGGAATCTTAGGGGGCAGTGTTCCTGGCAAGGGTAGACTACTGTGGTCCTTCCTTGCAAATTAAAAATCTTTCCATATAGAAATGAAAATTGCACCTTTTAATCAATTCATACAAAACATATACCATACTATAAACATGCATTTTCAATCTGTAAGAAAGTTATATATGCAGTATTTAACCAGAACAATATGCTGCCGCTAGAGTTTGGAGGTGGATCTTCAGTTTACAGTGTATACATTTGAAATATGCATCCCTTTAAACAATGCTTTGTGTTAGCATGCTGCAAATCAAAATGGCGCTTAATATAACAAGCTGGTCTAGGGCTATTTAATAATTAAAAACTGTTCATAAATGTTATGCATATAATGTGTACTTTTTTAAAACTTTTTTTTTTAAGTTGCTTTATGTTTGCACACAGCTGTTCACATAATAAATTGTAACTTTACTTCATGCTACTATATTGTGGCTTTGTGTTTCAGATAATGTTCATACTTTGTTTTTGCACCAGATGAGAATCAGTTCCTTGAGAATAAATTTTTTTTATATTTCTAAACTTCAGAAAGTTAACTTTGGGAAACCTTGTGTTTTATGTGGCTGTAAAAAATGATGTACACGATGTAAAATAAGATTGTCACTGTTATGTGGGACTATTATTTCAAAATGTGTTACTCATTGTAATGAGCATACAATAAAATGCATCTCTTGCACTCCAAGCTTCTTGAAAAAGTTTGCATTCCTTGCTCAGGCTAGATATTTGTTTTGCTTACTCATCATTTAGTTCAAATTTTAATTGTTGACATCCTGATCACTGTTTTTGAGGATTTATTGTGAATCACAATCACATTAAGCGTCAGATTTTTTAAAAAATTGTAATTGATTAAGAGTGCAAAGACAGAACTCTCATTAACAGAAAAAGATGGTGGTTAAGACTTTTTTCATTTAATTGTTAGTGTGTGATTTTAAAAATTGTGTTCATATTCAGTCTTGCCTCCTCTTAAATTCTATTGAATGAACCAATATTGCCCGTTCATTGAATCTGCAGTAGTTCACTGAGAGCTGGAACAGTGATACTGAAAGCAGACAAAAAGTACAACTAAATTCATTTTAAGCTCCATCATGATGTGGTATTACAGTATGTACCTGTGTTAACAAGTGTACTTGCACCCCTCCCTTTAGTGTTTTTGAAGAACTTGTTGACTAAATGGCATCACCTCATTCCTGAGTGTGCACTGTATGTGAGTTTGTGCATGCACATATACTACTAGCAGGCTTGTGTGGAAGCAGGCAGCTTGCTCCCATGCTTGCACCCTGATCATAGTGCAAGTATTGGAACAAGGCTGTTCAAAATAACAGTAACAGAACAGCTACTCTGATTTGGATCAATGCCGGTAGAAACATAGCAGGGTGAAACAGCTTGCTGCATCTGCCTGAGTGCTCCAAAAAGGAAGTACTAATGATATCTCTGCTTGGCAAATGCCACACAGCATAGGGGGGTGCATTAATTTTATTATGAAATAGCATTCCAGTACTGTTTTTATATTAAGTGACCTTGCACCTAAAATTTAAATTCACTTAACTTGAAAATAAGCGCCAATAAAGTGAGACTTGCTGCAAAGTAAATTTTGAAGCATATTTAGGATCAGGATGTGTGTGCTTGGTCCATGTTTCTAATGTTAACATTTAATTTTGCTTCCTAGTGCTTTCCATAACATGGTCCTGCAATATTCAAATTGACTCTGCCTTCAAACTCCTCCCTTTCATCAGCCAGTGAGTCATAGAAGTGAGATGCGCTGAGGAAAAGGGCTAATTTGCACATGAGCCTTAGTTAGAATGACCAAATCACTGATGGAAAAGTGACTTTTTATAGCAGCTTCCAAAACACCTCTGCACATCTATTTCATCAAGCAATACAAAAAAAATATGTATTTTTTTCAAAAAGATTCAGATTACTGCTCAACTTTTCCCAGATGTTTCCTGGGCTTATATTTTGCTGCCCCACAGAACCCACTTGGCAAACCACTTTTGAAACTGAGATCACTTTTGATACCAGATCTTCACTGTGATGTAGCAGTAACATGGAGGTGTACCCTCCAAAAGTATCCAGTGGGGCATATAAAAAGTACCTTTGCTTAAGACTTTGCACCCTTTGGTTCCCTGATGTCTCATTCAAGTATTTTATGGCTCCAGACTATTACCCAGTCCATCCTGCACTTACTTGTGGTGGCTCTTCAAAATCTTGTTGATAAGTGACCAAAGCGTATGACTATTTGTTATATAGCTTTACACTGGGATGGGCGATTCTTTGTTTTATTTTTACCTTAATTGCAAGGGAACTACAAGTGACCATTTTTTTTAAAAAAAAAGAGCTCCAAAAAAGGCGGTGACAGGCTGCAGTAGACGCTGATTCAGCTTCTTTCCTAATCTTCCAGCCAGGGTTTTGAATTCTGGAACAGGCTCATGTTCCTTCTTTCCCTCAGATGCAGCCGTTCTCGCCTCCCTTCCCAGGGCAACATGAGCCATGGATTGCAGGCATGGTTGAGTTGAATTAGCTGTTCCAAACTAGGATTCACTGAATTCTCCGCCACAGGGTGATATTTGTCCTAGCACTAATAGTATATGGATTCCCCGGTATTCAAATTCCAGCAGCAATTCTGGTATTGGAGTTTGTGCTTCTGTGGAAAGTGTGGGTGTGTGTAACAGCAAAACATTCCAAGTTTCAAAAATATGTACACACAAGATAGTTTATTTAGAAAAAACAAGTTTGCAAAGTGTGGATAAAATGCTTTGGGATACATTGGGTTGTGGTGTTTTGTTTCATTTTTTAAATTATCATTTCATTTCATTTTTTGTTTGTATTTTCCTGGAAAAAAAGACAGAAATCCCTCCTCATCTAGCTTGCAAAAAAAATTCCAAAAGTATACCTGCAGAATAATACATAGTTAGGACTAATCAGGGAGAATGGATTATGTGTGAAAGGGGAGAAATAGTGAATACGCCATGTTCCTACTCTCCTAACCATTTTTGAACTGAGTAGCACACATTGAAACGACTTTAGAAAGGTTGAGAAGTAAACTCGGGTGATTTTGCCCAAGAAGCCACATCAGCATAGGACTAAATCATATTTCTAAGGGGTTAGCTACATAGCTCTGGGCTGTGCCATAACACCTACTGAACTTGGGAGAATTGTATGTACCAGCTTCAATACAGTGTAAAAATAAAATGTGAGGGATGGGTAGGGAAGTCCTTTAATTTCTTAATTGCTTCAGAGCTGTGATTTACAACCTCATCTTTTTGTTGCTTTAGATGTGTCAGTTCTGGAGATAAGATGAGATGGCTTCCCCAAGATTCCTTAGGAGTGTGTCAGCTTGCATTGTGAAAACCTCTGGGGACCTGTTGTGTCCCTGGTGGGAATTTCAGTGCAGCTCCAGTCTCTTTTGTACTGCATTCTTAAAAAGCAATAATTGCCCGGAAGGTTTGGTCATCTTGCCCATCATTCATGACTTCCTCTTCCCCTATTAAAGTCCATTATGTTAGCCCTTTAGGCAATGTTGCGACTTCTGGCTATTCCACATAGCCAAGAGGTTTTGTATGTATAGATGCTGCCTGTCCCATATACTTCAATGGGAAGAACTAAGCTCCAGGTAAAAAGGTATTTCATGATATGTGTATGGCAAACCCCGTGAAATGGAGAAAAATGCGCTCTGCAGGCAAGTTCTGCTCATTAGTGAGCCCATTACTGCTAGAGACTGCTGCACTGAAGAACATGTATTACATGTTTAAAAAATCAGGGGACTTGAATCCTCCCCACCCCAATTAAAAAATATAATTGACTTTTAAAAAGAACATTTCATACTTGATATTATCATCTCGTAGAGTTGCCAACTTCATACACCAATAATCTAAAAACTTCAGGCGACAGCTAAGAAATCAAGCTTACAAATATATTTATTTTGTTTTAACAAAGATATATGTAGGCTTGCCCCCTGTAAACTGTTAAGGGCTTATTGATACAGATACAGACTGTTATGTGTCAGCTCCCAAAATGACCAACATCCATCACGCTGTGAGAAAAGAGAGGGAAGGGAGCGCCCATGTACCCACAAAACAAATCCCTACAAAAACCTAGTAAAGTGTTATTTTGTAGCTGCATAACCAACACCACTCTGCTGTTGAGCTACAAACATCTCCAGTTGGTGTTATAATGAAATGATTGGGAAGTGTGCCAATAATAATACTAATAATAAAAATAATACTATTAATAATTTATTTATTTGCTGCCCATCTGACAGGGTTTCCCCAGGCACTCTGGGCAGCTTCCAACAAATTAAAACACAATACGACATCAAACATGAAAAACTTCCCTGAGCAGGGCTGCCTTCAGATGTCTTCTAAAAGTCATGACATCTGATGGAAGGGCATTCCACAGAAGGCCCTCAACCCGGTTCCCTGTAACCTTACTTCTCACAGGGAATCGGCAGAAGGCCCTCAAAGCTAGATCAAGAGTGTTCAAGAGTGTGGAATGTGTTCTTGTCCAATTTAGTTCATTTTATTGGGTTCCTAATTGATGGTACTCCTTGTGTATGCCTCTTTAATTTGCAGAATCTGGGAAAACATTTTTTTAAATAAAGATTTTTAAAAAGAGAGAGGCAAATCTCAAAGTTCTGGAAAAAAGTAGAAAATACCTAATGCATTTCAAATGGAAACCTTGATTATTATTTTCCCCTCCTACAGATTGTGTCTCTCCATCTCTCTCTCTCTGATTTCTATTTTGGGTGCTGCCCTCATTTTTACCAATAAATAGGCCAATGCAAGGTATAATGGCAGCCAACAAAGCATAAATGGAAGCTCGCTTCGGGTGGATTAACCTGTTTTTGCAGCCTGCCTGGGAATGCAAAATTGAAGGGTAGGGAAAGCATATGCTACTTGTGGATCAGAAATTGAGATGATTTACAACAGTAGACCACAGTTTACTCTGGTCCAGAGTTCCAATATTTTAGGTGGGAGTAAAACTGGAGTTATTTTGTTAACAAAACAACTTTGCTGGGCAAAACTCGGGGTTTGTTTCATTTTTTTTCAGTACTGTATAGAGGACTGAACAAGAAAACAAAAAGCTCTACATGCAAAACAGAAAATTATATGCTATCAAGATAATAATAACAGTCACAATTGGTAAAACAAATTTGATAATAACTATTTAAAAGCTTAGTCCCAAGGGATATAACAATCACCAGCCACACTCCTCGAAAGCACATTTTCATTATTCTTTTTATCAGCCCACCTCATCCCCTTGCAAGAGTGATTATGGCAGTGGTGACAACATACTTGTGCTTAACACTCATTGGCCTTATGGAAAAGCTAAACGGCCACATGAATACTAGCTGCAACACCAATGTGAATCAGGAAACATGATGTTATTTCGGCAGACACACCAGTATGAGTGTTTGCCATCAAACACATCATTAGGCTGATTCTGGGTAAGTGTCATACACACCCTTCCTGCTATGCTGCCCCACAAGTTTTCTATTTACAATGAGCACTGCCCAAATGGAGATAGGCACCTCTCTATCCAACTGAAAAATCAATGAGGTTTAAGTGCATGGCTAACAAGTTTTATCAGTGAACACAACAACCCACCATTACTGCCCTATAGCTGTGACCTTCCCAGATTAGGCAAGTTGGAGAAGGGTCTTCATTAGCTTGAGGGGGAGCATGGTGTGACTTCTCCACTATTTAAAGCTCCCAATATGGTCACTGTGTGATCACACCATTTCCAAGTCACACTTGAAAAATGGGCATAAGCATCATGTCATTTTCTCTGAATGACACCTGCTAATAACCTCCCAACTTAAGTTGACCATGATATCTACCATGGGAAATGGTCCTTTCTAGTCAATTCACACACCCCAGCGTGTCGGGCTCCCCACCCCCTGCCCTTTGACACCACGAAAATCATGCAAGCAAGTTTACTATATACAACTCAACCCTGACTGTTCAGTTTTGTCAATTGACCTTGCACTGCAAAGTGATGAAGTCAACCCACAGACATTGCTAACTATCCAGCATGATGGATTAATTTCAAAAGTGGCACACCTGAATTTTTCGAAAAAAGAGAGAGAGGGAGGGAGAGGAGAAACTTATTTTATCCAAAGCATAACGAGTTGTGTGTGTCTGTTTTTCAGTGAGATTATAGGACAGGGCAGTAGAGGGTGGGGAATTCATTCAAAAGACAATTTGCTATAGTAGTTGCCACATTGCATTTGAGGGAACACAAGCATCCCTTGATGAAAAGCTCAGTTCATAGCTCAGTGCTAGAGTATCTGCCTTGCACGCAGAAGATCAACTGGTTCAACTCCTGGCCTCTCCATGTAGGACTGACTGTGAAGCATCCCACCTGAAATCACTTCAAACAGTACTGAGATGGACTAATGCTCTCAGTACAAGGCAGCTTCCTAACATCTTATGAGCTTTCCTGAAAAACCATTCACCCATTGCTACTCACCTTTGCAGTGAACTGGGTACATTCTAAGTGACATTCTCTGTTCCCATGGGTCAATGGGGAGGACAAACTTGGCAGTCCCTTGTATGAACTCATACACCTCAAACTCCTTTTCAAGACACATCAGAGTATCTTTGCTGATGAGCCAATATAATTAAGACTGAAGGAAGAATAATGTTTGAAAACCACTCATATGTGAACAATCAAAGCCAAGACACCCCCATTCCACACACACCATTATATAGTGTGCCTGTAACATTTTTTCCCTAACCGTGACTGTTTTGCGTTTCAGACTTGAAAAATCAATAGGAGAAGAAGAAAAGCAGAAAAATAATGTAACAACATTCATTTGCACATGAACTCCTCTGATCAGCTGTGGCTTGTCCAGGGAACTTGTTCATACTTGAAAGAAAGGAAGCAGTTCTTTAATCAGCCGTAAAGGCCTCCTGTTGCAAAACAAAGAAAACACATTATCATTCATGCTGTACGTCTGCGTACATTCATTGGATTTTAAAAATAATAATTATTTGCTATTTATTCTGAAAGCTCAAGTTTCATACAGCAAATGCAAGAAGCTAAGGTTTTGTGCCCTAATCAGTTTAAATAAACTGTAACACCGCAAAGGGCACTTTGCGACATTTTGAAGAAAGCAAGAAAAATCAACTGAAAAATGAAAGATTTCCTGTCTGGCATGCAAAGGGCAACTTCAACACACCCTTTTCAAACATCTAATTGGGAACGTTGCTCTTATGTAGGTTTAGTTGGCTGGGGTTGTTGTTGTTGATTTTGCATACAAAGTCTTTCTGCAATCATTTTGCAAACTGTTTTTGAACTCCCAAGCTTTCAAAAGCAGTTGGCCATGGAGCCTGGGGAATTGCTGTTGTTTAAGAACACAACCCTAAAGTCCCATTGGGTATGCGGAACTAGCTGGGCAGACTTTCAATATTTGGACCTTGTTCTCAAGATTTAGGATTAATACGCCTTTTAACTTTTAGCACAAATTTTCTGTACTGGGATACATCTATGACAAGCAAGTCTTTGCTGGCAAAACCTGGGTCTCACTCCATATATCCTAATTTCCCCGCACTGCCACTACCTCTTGTCTACAGATGCCATTGGGAGGGTCATCCCAGATGTCTGCCAATTGTTCACCTCAGCACCCCAGCCCAGGGTGCCACATCCTATAAAGTTTGGGGGGCACTGAAACAGATTACAACCCAGTTCACAATATCCAGCAATCTGAAAAAAATGTCTGAGACCAATGTCTTGAGGGAAGGGCTGTGGTAGCAGAACGGCAGAGCTTTACATGTAGATAATCCAACATTCAATCCCCAGGGAGGGCTGGGAAAGATTCCTCCTTGAAACCCTGGAGAGCGGCTGCCAGTCAATGTAGATACTACCAAGCTAGATGGACCATTGGTCTGAACTGGTATAAAGCAGCTTCCTATGTTGATCCAAAATGGCTGCCCATGAAGAAATGTTGCATATGGGCTGCTGCCCACACCTGGGAAATCCTAGGGTTGCCATATGTCCAGAATTTCCCAGAGGTATCCTGAATACTGTAGTAGGAAGCAGTGTCCAGGAAGAAATCGGCAAAATGTCTGTGAAAATCTGGACATATGGCAACCCATGTTGGCAGTGTCGTTTTTGCCAATTTTTCATTTTTCACACAACAACTTTGGCAAACCAAAATCAACTCAACAACTTTTGTGTCTGGATCTTCACTTTTTGAAATATGGCAATCCTAGGATATCCCTCACAAAAGGTAACTGTGGGGAACCCACTATGCCCATCCACTACATGAAACCCAGTTAGTTTTGCCATGGCCTGATAAATATTGGCATATGGTAACAGAGGTGTTTCTTTAACTGGTATTACCAGTGTTGTGGAATGCCCTCCGTGCTGAAATACTAAATGCCCCATGGCATTCTACTGTGTCCTGAAGACACATTTGTTTAGGCAAGCACGCCCACAACTTGAACTTGACATCTTATTGCTTTAAATGCTTTTTAAATGTCATACTTTTTAACTGGCTTGCTTTATTTACATTTTAATTAAAGGTGTATGAATGCTTCAGTGGAATTGTTTTATTGTGCATTTTAATTATGCATGGCAATGCTATTTTTCTAGAAAAAGAGGTGCCAGGACTCGCCATGAACACCACCCTTGTTCTCTTAGAATGGCAGCGGAACCCACCTGAGAAGTGCCAGAACTGATGTATGGATTTTTAGTTATAAACTGCTTAGAAGCCATTTTGGCACAAAGCAGTATATTACTTAATTAAATGAATTGTCTTTCTGAGAATTAATAATGCTCAGAAAAACAGTCACTGTAGCTGTACATCTTTCTTAAGTGACTTCCGGAACAAACATTCCCCTAGGGATGACTTACCTGCTTCCACATTTCTCCAGTTTTTTCAATTACAATTGTCTGCGATTCCTTTACAGGTGATGTGACATTGTAGTCATCAGACAAGAGGCCAAGGATAGGATACTGATTCCTGTACCTGGAATTTCAAAAGGATCTATCAGCATTTCTATTTTAATACCACATATAGTGTGGTATTAAGCGAGATGGGCGCACAACCCGAGAGTCTGTCACAACTGGCCCGTACAGGCAGGGGTACCTTTACCTTTACCTATAGTGTGCAAAACATTCTGGCATCAGATCCGCATGATACATTTAAAGCACTCTTATACCATGGCAATAGTCTTGGCTTCCCCCACAGCATTTGGAGACCAGTAGATTATTAAAGGTGCTGAGGGCTGTTAGGAGACCCACTCTCCCATTCAGTTCAGAGCAAAATTCTAAGAGTTCTCTGAAAGGAGGGATTGACCACTCCGGGATTTGTAGCTCTTATGTTCTGTAAGGTCAGGAATGGAAATCTTTTCGGCTCCATGAGCCAGATCCTTCCCAGTACATTTCCAAGTACAATTCAAAGTGTTGGTGCTGACCTTTAAAGCCCTAAACAGCCTTGGCCCAGTATACCTGAAGAACCCCCCATGGTTCTGCCCGGACACTGAGGTCCAGCTCCAAGGGCCTTCTGGCAGTTCCCTCACTGCGAGAAGCCAAGTTACAGGGAACCAGGCAGAGGGCCGTCTTGGTAGTGGTGTCCACCCTGTGGAACATCCTCTCATCAGATGTCAAAGAAATTAACAACTATCTGACTTTTAGAAGACATCTGAAGGCAGCCCTGTTTAGGGAAGTTTTAAATGTTTGATGTTTTATCGCTTTATTTATTATTATTATTATTATTATTATTCTGTTGGAAGCCGCCCAGAGTGGCTGGGGAAACTCAGCCAGATGAGTGGGGAATAAATAATAATAATTATTTATAATAATAATGACACCATTATCACATGACTGACAGGTAGGATGTCCTGCCCGTCTGCCAAAATTCCTTGCATGGGGTTCCCAAGAGTTTGAAAATCAGCTGATAAGTGCCAGCTCTATGTGTGACATCAGGTTTTGGGCGGGTGAGTGTGGCTTCTCCAAAACAGCCTGGAGAGCCAAATGGAGAGTCAAATGGAGAACCAAATGGGCTCAAGGTTCCCCACTCCTGCTGTAAAGCATTGCACACACCAGCAGCACAAGAGAGACAGACAGTCAGAAAGAAAAAGAGTTGCATGCAGTGCCCTTACTTTTTAGTGATGATAGTCTTTGTTACTCCTTGGGATGAATTGTTTGCTAGTTTTTCTTGTTTCAATCTGAAGATTTCCTGAGAGAGAGAGAGAGAGAGAGAGAGAGAGAGAGAGAGAGAGAGAGATTTTTTAAAAAGGCTATTTCACTCAAAATCTTTATCAAGGCATTAACACAGTGATGATCACAAGTAAAATCCAGTTCTTTGAAAGGTAGAGGCTTGTCATAACTAAAGAACACTTCATATTGGGATATTGATCAAGAGGTCGCTGAACTATGGTTAATTAGCCAGGAAATGTTGAATGGAAGAAGAAAAAGGAAGGAATGGCATAAGGATGGAGGATGGAGGCACAAGACCTATGTATTTCTGGGCTTAGTAGGCTGATACACACACACACATGCCTGAACCAGGCCAAACTAAGGCACCTTGGGAACCTCAGGGGTTGCATTGAGATGCATGTATAATATAATTCAATAGGTATTCCATTTATATTTTGGACCATGGTCTTATATTGTATACTCCATATTATGCAGTGGGTGATTTTTACAATAATATGTTTTCAGGATTCACAGCGACAGCATTTCCTTAACAGGAAGAAGAAATTAAAGCAATAAGAGGTTAATACCTGCCACCCATTTGTTGAACAAGTGCAAAATGAGTTTGAATCCTGGAGATCTCACTGTGTGTTTGGAAAACTGCTGCGTTGTTTACATAGTGGTATTCTGTTTGCTATCCCTTAGTGGGCTTTGCTTGTATCATTCAACACATTTATATCAATAACATTCTTAACTGGGCTCCTTTGACCAAGCCAGAACATTGGTCCATCTGCCTCAGTATTGTTATGAGTTTGGGGTGTTAAGCTGGGTGCCACACTAATCAATACTGACTAGCAATGGTTCTCCAAGGTTTCAGATAGGGAACATTCCCAGTCTTGCCTGAAGAATGACCCTGGGATTTCCTCTGTGCTAGCAGATGCTCTATCACTGAGCCAAGGATGGATTTGAATGTTTACAGAATGCTTACTAAATGCCAAATTATCTCACAAGGAAGGAGAAGAAGGCAGACTGGAGAAATGGAAAACTATTGAGACTTCTGCTCTGTACTGGTGTGCCTGTCAACCTCCATGCAGGTGTACAAACCTTGTGTTGCTGAGCATGTAGACAAATGAAAGGCTGGGAACTCAAAGTACTGAGCAGTTATCATGAAAGAACTCCAGATCATGCAACATGGGCTATTGCTTGATTTATCTGCTTGCATTAAGGAATCAAGAGAGGCAGCAGGAAAACCTTCTCTTTGGGGAAGGGTCATAGCTCCATGGTAGAGCATCTGCCTTGGATACAAAAGTTCCCAAGTTCAATCCCTGGCATCTCCAGGTAGGACTGGGAGAGACCTCTCCCTGAAACCTAGGTGTACCACAGCCAAGCAACAAACTAATGGTCTGACTCAGTAGAAGGCAGCTTCCTGGATAGCTCAGTCGGTACAGCATGAGACTCTTAATCTCAGCATTGTGGGTTCAAGCCCCACGTTGGGCAAAAGATTCCTGCATTGCAGGGGATTGGACTACAGGATCCTTGTGGCCCCTTCCAACTCTACATTTCTATGATTCTATGTTCCTAAAACATAGCTTTTGGCTAATTAAACAACCTACGGTCTTTTGAACTGGGGGGGGGGCGCGTATTGTTTCGGTCTGTTACCATGTTCTGTATTTTTGTGTTTTTATCTTGTGAACCATCCTGTGATCCTTTAATGAAGATTGGTAAAGAAATTTAATAATAATAAAAGTGGGGGAGACTGCCTGGGCAGTTCCAAACCACGGTCTGCAAAGCAGCGCTACTTACATCTTCCAACTGCTTCAATGTGGCATCTCTCTCTTCCAGCCTTAAAGTCAGGTCTTGCAGTCTAATCTGGAGGTCAGTGTCACTCCCCTGCTTCCTTGAAAAATCCCGCTGGAATTCACATAATTTGGACTAGAAAACAAGAACAGCAGGTCACATGCTCAGATACAGATTTTTTTTTTTTTAAAGAAAACAATAAAAAAAAGGCAAGCGATAAAAAGTCAAGGAATGGAACTGGAGAATATGGGAAAGCCAGGCTTTCCAGAGCAAATGTAGGGAGTCTCCACTATGAATCTCACCACCTCTGGTGAGGTGAGTAGCAAAACTACTAACTTAAATTTTATTTTTTAACACTGGTACTCTTTATTTTGTTGCTTATTAAAATACTGGTACCCCACCTTTTTTATTTTTAAAAAAAAGTATTTTCATTGAAACTTTCAGCAAAGGATACAATAAAAAACAAATTAATCTAAATAAAAATACCTCACCCTTTGGACCCGATGACACCCATCCAGAGGCTTACGACCCTCAGAATAAAAACAACGATTAATAAGATGCTACTGCCAGCATTCATAGCGAGCAGCAAGAATTTTCACACCCCGAGTGACATCGGGAGATTTGTGGTTCAGCTGTCCTTCTGGGTTTTCTAATATGCAATAGTAATTGTGTGTTTAAAACTAACTGGGGCTATGCATATGGAAGGGGTCGACCCACTGCGCTCATTGCACCCCCCTGATTAAAATCTCTTTTCCTTGAAGCTGCTATTTGTTCCATGGAGCAGGTAGCAGCTTCGGGTGGAGGGCAATTTAAAAGGCAAAAATGATATAAAGGGACAGGGCTAACAACACTGCCAGTGCCCATTATTCTTACTATTAAAAAGGTTAATAGCATCCCAGTGGCTGCCATTAACCTTTTTAATAGTAGGAATAATTTTAGAAAGCAGGCAGTTCAATCACTGATTTCCCGATGCCACAACCACTGTGGCCCTGAGCTGTACAAACGCAGAGGTGTACTTGGAGAGGTTCGATATGGACTTTCTCCCCCTGTGGTGTCCCCAAAAGGAAAGCTGACATACCCTGAGGTTGCGGATCTCCCTGTCCTTATCCTCTCTAAGCTGGTTGATCATCTCCACATAGCGGCTGGATAGTTCGTCAACGGTGGTCTGGCCTGGAGTGTTAGAGGAAGCCTGTGCAAGAGCAAAATGCTTAATTTAGTTTGACTTTTGCAAACGGCACAGACGATAAAAAGCAGGGTCACTTTCACCGAGCTCCGTCACAAAACTGATGTTCAAAGAAATTTCCCTCATCTCCCTCTCTCGCATCTCTAGAACCGGTTGACACCCAAGGAAGCTGAACGTTGGAAGAGTCGGGACATATAAAAGAAAGTACTTCTTCACATAAAAGAGATGAGGGTGGCGCTGTGGGTTAAACCACAGAGCCTGGGGCTTGCCGATCAGAAGGTTGGTGGTTCGAATCCCCGCGAGGGGGTGAACTCCCGTTGCTCGGTCCCAGCTCCTGCCAACCTAGCAGTTCGAAAGCACGTCAAAGTGCAAATAGATAAATAGATACCGTTCCGGCAGGAAGGTAAACAGCGTTTCCGTGTGCTGCTCTGGTTCGCCAGAAGCGGCTTAGTCATGCTGGCCTCATGACCCGGAAGCTGTATGCCAGCTCCCTCGGCCTATAGAGCAAGATGAGCACTGTAACCCCAGAGTCATCCACAACTGGACCTAACGGTCAGGGGTCCCTTTACCTTTTCTTCTTCACATGGCGCATAGTTGAACTCACTGAGTTCACTCCTAACGAAGGTGTTCATGGCCACAAACTTGGAAGGTGTTAAAAGAAGACTGGACAAATTCATGGAGGATAAAGGCTATCCCTGGCAGTGGCTATCAATTAAGATGGCTGCCTCCACAGGCAGAGGAAATGATGCTTTTGAATACCAGTTGCTGGAAACCACACAAGGGAGAAGGATCTTGAGCTTGAGTCTGCTTGTGGGTTTCCCGCATGCATCTGATTGGCCACTGTGAGAACAGGATGCTGGACTAGTTGGGCTATTGGCTTGATCCAGTAGGCTCTTCTTACCTTCTTTTATTGCTACTTGCAGCCTAGAACTGCCTGCAGACCAGCAGCAGTTTGCCAAGGGTTCTCCAATATAGATTTTACTTGTTTTCAAACCACACCACGTTCCCTTTTTTTAATTAACTGGAGGCATCAGAAGCTCCTGTGGCTAGAACCAGGAACCCCTAGACCTGGGCACTGTTGAGAAGAGGATGCTGAAGCAGAAGGACCATTAGCCTGATCCAGCAGCCAGGCTTTTCTTATGTTCTTATGCAGAGGATGGTGTAATTCTCATCATTGGAAGGACATAAAAGGCTTCTCTGCCTATCCTGCCTATCTTGCTGGTTTAACCAGAAAATAGCAAGTATTCACTGATTTCTGGCTCATGGTTGTAGCATAGCCCTTAGACCACAGGGGGGCAACCTGAAGCCTCTCATCTACATGCAGCTTTCAAGCCCAGTTTCATGTGGGTGCCAACGAGGGAGAAAACAGGGTGGCAGAATGAGAAAGAGAGGAGGGCTCTCTTTGCATGCTCTGCTTTGCATGCAGAAGATCTCAGATTCAACGTTCACCCCATTGAGATAAAGCTGGGGGGTGCCACTGTATGAAACTCTGGAGCACTGCTGTCAGCCAGTGTGGGCAGCATTCCCCCCCCCCCTGCAAAGTTTATTATCAGTATTTCATTTTATAATGCATATAAAACAGAGAGAACGATTACATCAACAGACAAAAGTTAAAAGGTGAAAAACAAAATTATGAAATAAGGCACACAGAATGAGTACTTTGCAAGTGAGTTAAAATCACAAAGTCCAAGTAAACTGTCAACTTTATCAGATTGTCAAGTATAGCTCCAAATTTGAGTGCAGGGAATATTGAGCTGGATGGGCCTATGCTCAAGGCAGCATTCCTCCGTCCCTATGAAGGGAGCAGCAGAAAGCGCATGAGAGAGAGAAAAGGGTGACCCACCCATTTTGGGCTCCAGCACCTACCAATATTGGCATTTGCCCCCCACCCCCCAAGTGCCAGTAACGCAACCTTTGACCCTCATTCCTTCCAAGTGAATGAGGCCCTTGGCAGGACAAAAAATAACAATAAAAGGTTCCCTGTGCCTGGGTTAGATTACTGAATTAAGGCTGGGGAGGCCCAGTCACCCGTCATTAGGCCACACGTTAATAGAAACAAAGGCCTGCCTTTACCTGGAGTCTCAGATTCTGGATTTCTTGCTCCAAGGCTCGCTTGCTGTATTCCAGGTCTTTCAGCCGGAACTCTCGGTCTCCGTCGTTGTGCCGGAGAGAGAGGAGCTGCTCTTCCAGCGAGCGGCACTTCAGAGTGTACTCCCTGAGGGCTTGCTGTGAACACACATGGCAGGAAGCAGGTCAGCTTAGACAACCTGGGGCCAATTTACCAGTGGGAATGCTGTACCTTGTGTACCCCCTACCACCAAGGTACTTTGATCCTCAGAGCAAGCACGCTTAACATTGCCACGTGCTCTTAAGGCTCAACTCAGGTCCACTAAGATTTATTGTTTCAGTCCGATAAGCATGCAAACCTACCTGCTGTTGGCGATTATTCTCTCGCACCGACTCCAGAAGAGTTTCATACTCCTTTACTTGGGACTCTTTAAAAGCCAGGTCTTTCTCAAGCAGCACTTTGTCAGTTTCCAGTTTCTGTGAAAGCAAAATTCTCATTATGAAAAGGACTTTTTTTTTTTTTGAAAATTCAGATGACAATTTTGAAAATTCAGATGGGCCCATGCTGCTATGATGGTGGACGCGCAGGACCAAGAATTCTAATGGGGAAACTAACATGCTTATTGCAATGTGTAGAGACAAACCTGAAACTCCTCCTTACTGGGCCCAAAGCTAAAAATCTCTCAGGTGATTTGAATGGTAGCCAGGAAGCCAGGAAGTGGTTCAAAAACACAGTTTGAAGGACAGCAGAATAGGGGCACATACTACTGTTCCATCAGCAACTGCAACTCAGTCACATACTGGTCCAAGGGGACTATATCCCAAAAAAAGAGCTGGGAGGACTAGGAACCTTTGGGGGGGGGGCAAGGGTTCTCTTTTGGTATGTATTTTATTTACTTATTTAGATAACATCTGTACTCTGCACTTCGGCTGAAGAAGCTCCCAGAGTGGCTTATATGCAATCAATTAAAACAAGGCAGCCCTTGCCCACATATCTAGAAGAAACAGCATTAAAGGAAAAAGGGAAGAGGAGAGAGAGGAAGCAAGCTCAAGTTCTCAGCGAAGGACTCGCTTCTGAGGAATTGCTACAGTGCGTGCCTAAGGGTCACTTTCAGAGAGGACCATAAAGCATCCATAGCCTTTGATTTGATCAACCAAAAACGAAGATGACAAGTTCCTACAAAACGCTTGAGAAGAAACAGCTAACACGAAGTTTCATTTGGAAATGCTGAAGTCATTTGCCTCTGCCCAGTTGGACAAAGGAAAAATTGTGTTTATCAAGAACATGTCACGTGACAGTGGTCTTTTGAAATCAAGGAGGGTTTCAAAAGGAGGTAGTGTACAGTAGAAGGGTCTGCCATGCAAGCAGAGGCGGGGTCAACAATTCTGGTAGTTGCACCCTAAGTAGATTTGGGAATCCCAGTCTTGTATACCAATTGATGAACTAATCGAATACATTTGGACAGAGACTAACCAGGACAGCCACTCACCCCTAAGTCATCCTGAAGATGAACAAGCTCTTCTCGAAGGTTGTTGAATGTAGCAAGGACAAGCCTCATTGACTTATCAGCAGTTACTCTCATCTAGGAAAGAAGGAGGGAAAGAAAGGAAAAGCAAATTTCAGAGAAGCAAAATAATCTAGTTACTCCAATTAAGTTCTACTCAGAATAAGTCCATTAAAATTAATATACCTAAGTTAGCAAAGTCCATTATTTTCAATTGGCCTTCTCTGAGTAGAACTAACACTGGATACAACCCATTAATTCAAAATAAAATAAGTTTAAGGTGCCCAGTAAACAAACAACAACACCCTTGCATCTGTTTGTCTGGGATGTAGCAAGTTTTATCCTCTTAGTAAGAGCTATACAAGGCAAGCCAATTTCAACAAGTTCTGCCAAAAAGAAGAAAAATTATATAGCCCATTCAACATCATGGGGAAATTTAAAAAGTCTACATCATTTTTAATATTGAATGAGAGAAGTACAACTTTTCATTTTTCAGAAATGGGATTCAGATTCAGAACCCAATCTGTATCTGCCTCTGGAGTGCTTCAAAGCAAATCAGGGTGTTTTCCAAAGCACTGAATCAGGATCTGAACTGAATCTTATGGTTGCTGTAAGAGATGGGCAAATCTGTATCCAATGTACACATTTTTGCAGAGTGTTTCCGCCTTACAAAGTACATTCATGCATGTTACTTTCACTTATAAATGCATGTCTATGCACACTTTACCCTGGTATATACATTTTTGTGCTTGGCACTTAGCTAGGCAACTGTGTTGCAAAATTTGAAGAACTGCACATTGGAAAGAATAGCTGTGTTTTGGTCCTCATATTGTTTTGGATACTGTGAATTAGAGTGAATTTCTCCCCCATCCCTAAAAATCAAAGTAGGTAAGACCTCCCCCTTGCTGATTTTTATTTTATTTACACTTTTGTTGCGAATTGGTTTGATTTATAGAATTTATATGGGCTTGTAATCCCAACACCCCTCTCTAAAGATATAGTGTTCTTCCTGCCTATTATATGCACACATGCAGGCATGAAAGAGTTTTTTCTAGCCAATATCTGATTCCTGATTATAATTTTAAATTTGTCCAGAGTTCGCTGTTGCTTGTTTAAAAATATGTTCAGATTGTTGTATGCTTAGAAGTTAAAATAAAGACTACAAAATAAGACTAGGGAGAAACCTGGCATTTTCAAATTACACATGTCAAGCATGGATCAGCATCCACAATGGAATCTGTTGATTTGTTCAGACAAGTCGCTGCAAATGAGAACGATGGTATTTTTTAAAAAGTGTTTTCATAACACAAAGCCAGGAAATATTCCCTTTTAATTTTTGCAGATTACTTTCCACCTCACGCCCACATACGGAATGCCCTACCTCCAGGAGATAACGGATTTGTTGCTTTGTTGATTCAGAAATCCCTTTAGGAATCAAACTCTCAATATCTTCCGTCTATTAATTTAGAAACAGGAGACAAAAAAGACAGAGTGAGTATTAGACCTGGTTCTCATCTATTGATAGCAGCAAAAAATAAATCATGGAACAAGCACAAAATATTATGAGCAACTGAAGGACAGAGAAAGCAGAATGGCAACAGACTCTTGTTGCCTATTAGAGTTAAATGCCAGGTGGGGCAGAACCACTATGCTAACTCTCTGGCAGGTTAGTCACTGTTGCTTGCTAGGAGGGAGAGAGACAGGGCAGCACGGTGCAAGCACCCTGGCAGAACCAATATAGTGCTCTTGTTGGTGCATCTGCATTAGCTGACCTCCCCACTCCCAGTAGGCAACAGCAACCCACCTGCCATGACACTAGTGAAGCAGCTCCATCCAACACAATTTGCTTCTTCTGGTAAAAGGGCTGTGAGGACTGGAAAGCGCAGTATCTCTGAGGCATCAAGGGACCTTGTGGTTCACCCTCATTAGAGAGCTTGCACCTCAGTAATTAGCAAAGTGCACACTTAGGGATTGTACTGAAAAGAGGAGTTCCTTGTGAAGAACTTCAGACAATGTAGCCTTTTTCTTCAACCAAGCAAAGAAGAAAATGTCACAAGTTTTCAGCAACTGATGGACTTAAGCAATTAAAGTATTCATCAACTTTACAGCAGCCTTCCTGCAAAATATTTGGTTACAGGCCTAGCATGCAATGGAGGACACAGCCTGTATACTTTTGGCAAGCTCATTATCTGCAACTTGCTAAGAGCATGGCGACCACTAAATCTTTTGCACACTCAATCTGCTCAGTGTGGAAATAGTTTTTGCCCATCATTTTGATAAAGTGGGATTATGATAGAAATATGTTATAGAATATATAACCCATCTATGATTTCATAATCATTTAAGGAAGCATTAGTTTGAACACCTAACCATGGTTTAATGACTGATCACAAACCAGTGTGAGAAACAGGTTTGCTTTCCATGGTTTGTGTTAAGAAACCATGGCTAAGACACTTTCCCTACCTCTTCAACACTTTCTGCTTGCAATTTGGCAAGTAGGCATTACTATCTCCACACATCCCTCCACAGGCTAGCGCTTAATTCAAGCGATCAAAAACCCTGGTGTAAGGTAGCTAACTATGGTTAGGTAATGTCTGTACAAGTTCAGGATATTTGTTGTGAGATTCACTGGACTGCAGCCATGGACCATTGATGGAGGATACTAAAAATCTTTAAGAGTACTTACTTGATTCAGAGAGTCGATTTCATATCTCCTGTAAGAAAAACAGGACATCATTAGCACAGAGTATTTCCAAATGCACATAATTTTCATTAGCCAGCTGTGTAACGTTTTCAACATTTCTTTAAAGTCCTCTTGGGTGATTCAGGTAAGAGGTAAGCTTTCATTCTTAAATATAACCTTTTAGTTCCTATAGCTGCAAATGCAGACAGAAGCAGACAAAATGCATACATTTATAAACAAGAAACACACACCATTCAAAATACACACACACATGCACACAGTCCAACAGTTCATTAACTGTGCCTATTTGCAGAAGGGCTCCATAATGATTGACATGTATACAATCAAACAAAATTTTCACAACATGCTCCAATCATGTAACTTGGATTATGTGACTGGTTGCAGAACTAGGGAGACTCATCTTCAAATTCAGAATTCATGACCTCCTGCTTTCTAAATTCACAGAATTTCTCAAAAAACAGGCAATCAAATGGTTAACTACTCACAAGCAGAATGGAGTTGCAGAATGCAGCTGAACTGACCATTCCTCCTTCCATCTATAAAACTCTGACTAACATTCTTAAGATTCCCAGAGCACCAGAAATAGGGGTAGGCACAAAGTTACCTTCCACCTAGCTTCTCGATATGCTGGAGTAAACAGCTATAGAGTTCGCTGCTCTTGCGGTGCAGTTCTGCCAGGAGCTCGCCAAAGAACCGAGAGTCCAACTGATCATTTACTTCATAAACACATTTCACCTGGTGGGAGACAAATAAAAGACCGCTTTAGGGTCTGCTTTGCCCATGAATGTGGGAAATGATTTGGGGCATTTGCAATCGTTCTTTAAAACAACAGCAACAACAACATCCCAATGTGATTAAGAGAAAAATGTCAACAATTAAAACATACTTAAAAACAATTTCAGTACAGACACCCAGACTGTATAAGAATTTCCTTTTAAAGAGTCTTGTTCGGAAAAGAAGATATTCAATTAAGTACCGGAAACACAAAAGAAATGGCAGTCTGAAGCAATATGGTGCATGCGACCACCAGAGAGCCAATACAGAATGAAAAATGTGCATGAGCAAACTGGAAAGAGGAACTTTGCTAGAGATGAAAAGGACCCGCATGCACTGTAAAATCATTATGACTAATTATTGCTTAATTATATCCAAGGTTTGCTCTCTGGTCTGCTGGTGAAACCCTTAGGATTGGTGTCTGGAATGGGGTCTTCTCAGTGGTGGCCCCACATTTCTGGAACACCTCCCCCGGGAAGTACATAAAGGCTCATCACACCTAAGAACTCTCCATGCATGCTGATTCCAGCTTGCATTTGCTTAATGCCCTGTGTCTAATATTCTTTAGCAGCTGCTAGCTTAAAACTAATGGTTAAATATTTAATTTGCTGTATTCATGGGCTGTTGTTTATATTTTTAATGTGTTTTATTTATTTTTTGTGTGCCTTGTCAGGGCAGTGTACCCTGCAAGGTGAGCTATAAGAAATTTTAAATCATAAAATAAAATCCTACTCTCAGAGGATGTGGGTTCCAACTTTGCGGAGGAAAGGTGAAGAGAAGATGCAAAAGTAAAGAACTATAGCCAGAACCCCCAGGGGCTCATTGAAACAAGCCTAGTCAGCTAAAAAGTTTGTGTGAGAGAGAGGAGACAAAACAGACGAAAATGATTCATCCTTATTAGACTCCATTTCTTCTCTCCCACCCCCCAGACACACCAGAATAAAAGCAGCAGTATTGGCTTAGGAAAGCCACCAGCTTCAATTCCAGCTGTTCCCACAATGTGCATTTGACCTCCTGAGGGGCCTAAGGCCTGGTGGCATGTCCTGTATTTAATTCATGTTATTAGAATCCAGTCTTCTCCTCTCTGCCTGCAAGCGCTCCACCTTAGTACGTTTGGTTTCTTAATTCTGTGGCTAACAGCACTTTTCTGCTAAGGTACTTGCAAAATTGCCTGCCTTTTGCTGGAGGCAAATGAACACACATTTTGACTCTAGTTCCCAATACCATCAGCACAGAAGCTCAGAGCAAGAGTGGTCCTGTGCTACCCAGCTGCACATTACTCATGTTGCAACCGTAAGCAAAATGGTTGAGAAAACGAGATCCAGCTTTTATCCTAGATGCTAATAGCAAGTGTGGATCTTTATGTAGCAAACAAACAAAACCCCCACTATCCATGCAGAGGAGAGGAGGTTATTAGCAGGCTCAGAAGAATCCCAAGCAGTGTCAGAAACTCAGATATATAAGCCAAGTGCAAAATGGCTCCTTAAACCAGGGTTACAGCCGCCCAAATGGAATGCCTAGTTGCAATTTTGAGGCCAAAAGGTTCAAAAGTCGTATTTTTCAATACGACTTTTGGGTTCCTGAAATTCGTTCTGATTGTATAGATAAAATTTAACTGACAGAATACTACAGGATGTGTTGTTGCTAGTGTGTGAAAACAGTCACGATCCAAGGATCCCCAGGCATGCACCTCCAGATGGTTGAGACATCCAGGCATCTTCACTTGGTTGCAAGTGGCCTATAGTTATTGTATTTTAGTGTTCTGTTGGAAGCCGCCCAGAATGGCTGGGGAAACCCAGCCAGATGGGCATGGTATAAATAATAAATTATTATTATTATTATAGCAGGTGCAAAATGCACCTGTCACCAGGTGAATTTCAAACGCTGGTCCCAAGGTTTGCCGAAATAGTAATTTGTTTCCTCCTATCCACCACCCAATATTGACTGAGTGTGCTCAGCAGCTATAGAATGCTAACTCAGGTGGGTGGTGGGTGGATTAGAGCACCTTGCGAGGGAGCATCTGCTGGATAGAATGCTGGACAGAATTCTACACTGCAACATTTCATTAGAAGTCCCAACTGTATTTCTAAATGCAACCTCAGAAGAACAAAAGTGAGAAGCTAAGAGTTAAAAATCATAGCAGGTCTAAGAGATATTACAACATTCAGTTATATTGCCACCTATTTGGCAATGGAATTATTAAACACACACAAATCCTCACAAGGAAAATACTCAGTAGGATCTCCTAAATATTGACCTGGAAACTGTTCTCCGATCTCCGCCCCCCCCCAAAAAAACAACAACAACAGACAGGCTCCAAAACAGTTTTCACCAACCTGGCGCTCTCCAGATGTTGTTGGAGTACAACCCCCATCACCCCCAGGCGCTAAATGATTACAAGGATAGCATCTGCCCTTGGGGGCAACTTCAAAAAAATCTCCCATCTAGTACCTTGGAGGGTAACATGTTAAAACATGACAACAAAACTGCTCTTCCATCATTGGGTATTGTTAGACAATATAGTCATGGTGTATAATTGTCAGGCCCAGTGTTTTTTATTCACATCTTTTATTCTCTATTTAAGAATAAACTATGCTTGCACGGGGTCCCAGGGTAGCAAATGAAAAGCAGGCAAACCAACAATACACATCTTTACATATTTCTCAGCAAAGACCACTATATCTAAAGACTAGGCCTAAGCACTGTAAGCTTCATTGGGCTAGGATTTTCCATACAGCCACTTCTCAGAGCTTCCCATGCTAGTCTCCGTCTGGTTATCATGAAGCCACGTTGCGGCTTCAGAAGACTCAAGTCAAAAAGAAACAAGCAGAAACATTTGTGGGAACCTGAAGTCTATTCTAAAGAGGAGCCATTCTTACCGGTTCACAGGTCTGAAGGGTGACCTTCTTCACATTCCCACTTCCGAAATCATTGACACAGATGGGACTTACGTCATAGCAATTGCCCGTCTGGGTTTGCTGGCACTGCTGGACCACTTGGACATGTTCCACTGGTTGGCTGACTTGGCACTGGTCAGACTGGAGGCCATATTGGTATTGCTTTTTCATTAAAAGAAACAGAATTCATTCAGAACTGAAGCATTGCACTCAAACCCTTCCCAGTCATAACTAGTGGTGGGCGAACCGGTCAATTTCAATTTATTTCTGTTGTCTCAGTTCTCCACATCTATTTGCAATGTTTCATAAAGTCCTCGTGAAGATTCGCCAACATTATAGTGCACATTTTTGTCTAATATACACTTTTTTTGCAAAGCAATTTTCCCTAATACAGTGCACCTTTGTATACTTTGTATCTATACATTTTGTATATATTTGAATATATTATATAATGTTTACACTTACACACAAACATACACACACATTCTATATTCCATATTCCATTTTCTATATTCTATACTGGATATGTATATGTGTGTTTATATATATGTATTTATAGGGACTCTTTGCCCTAGTATTTGCATTTTTGCACCTTAGTACATTATTTGAAACATCACCACTAGTTATTTAAATGCTTCTGAGTAGCCAAATGTGCTTCATTTGATACAGAGGGCACACCCACACTTCAAGTTTAAACAGTTTGTAAGGAATCCAACATGAGAGCTTTTTTCCATTATCTTTTTTATATATAAAATTTTTATTAGGAATTTAAACAAAACATATTATCTGAAAACATATCATCCTTAATTCCCCCATTTTTCTCCCTCCCCTTTTTTCCATTATCTTAATCTTGTATCTCCATTATAGCTTCTTCAGATGACCTTTGAAAATTGGACCGTGACACTGACAATGCTTTGCTAGAGAAGTCTTAGTTCTAGAGTTCCTTGATTGAGAGTCAAGACTCCTGAAGCATAATCCTGTGCACATTTACTGACACACTATGTACACTGGGTCTTATGCTCAGGTAGAGCATGCATCAGATTGCATCCTTAAGACAAGTTTGAAAATGGCCTAGAACTTGTGGTGTTGACATGTCCTTAGAGGAAATCCCTTCCTCCACAGGGTGTCGAGTGTCCACGCTGGTCTCTAGGGCTAGGTCTCCATCCTCATTTTCCCCATGGAACACCATGCACCTGCCTGACCTGAGTTTTGCTCATTCAGCTCAGGAGGAGCTCTATGGGGGCGTCAAGATGATGCAGCTGCGTACTTGCTTAAGCAACCTGGAACTCAATCACTTTGTAGGCATCGTAATCTTTAAGATGTGGAGTCAGATTAGCTGAGCTAGGGGGAAGGGTTGGAAAACGTCCACCACTGTCATCTTTGATGCCAGTCTTCAGGTTGCCTCTGTTGCAAAAACACTAGTTGAGACCAAATTTTCTTGCTCTCTTGCTTCTGGCTTTTGGCCAGATTGGTGCTGGAGCCAAATACATGTAGGTTCCTGGTCAACATACAGACTCTGAAGACTCTGATGTGGTCATCCCAGATTGCAAACATTTTCTCTGCTCTGTAGTAGGCTTCATTAAACATTTGGTGCTGTAAAAGCTAGGAATTCAAGACTCTACTTCTAGTTCAAAAGCTGGTGATTAGTTCTTACTGGCTGTATCTTCTTGGCCAGTGTTGTTTTAATGCAGCCTTTGCTAACCTGGTGCCCTCCAAATTTTTTGTACTACAACTCCAATCAGTCTCAGCCAGCATGGATTCACTGGCTGGGGATGATGAGAATTCTTATCCAAAACATCTGGAGTGCACCAGGCTGATGAAAGCTATTTTAGTACCCTAGCTCTGACCAGTTGAGGCTTCCTTGGCTACTGGAACTATTAAGCAAGGCTGCTGAGAAATTCAAGCTCCTTTTCAAGTGCTGAAACTACTGGTTTAGGTCTCTAGGCTTGTTTCTGTGCCTGGGTCTACATTCCAACCTACTCCTTCAAACTTTGCCTGCCTACCTACCTACCTTCCTGACTTGAGATTTTGCAGCTACCTGAAAAGCGATTGCCTTTGGGGACTCCCTAGGACATATGTATTGCTTTTGTAGGGTGACTTATATTTCTTTCAAGGTTAGAATGGTCCATCTACACTTCCCTTCTCAACTTGCATGTGTGGAAATAGATAGATATTCAAAATACACCTCCAGTACCCTTTTCCCCACAAGGAAACAAACTCCGAAAAAGTATTTCCCTGGAACATTATACTCCTGGGGGAAATAGGGATTTCAAAAACAATACTATCCATTCAGTCTTTTAAAAAGGTTTCCATTCATCTGTCGCAGGGACAGTGTTCATTGCAAAGGCAGGACTGAAAAGTCTGAAAAGAAACAGGTGCTTCTTTGTGTCCAGAAGATCAAACAATGGTGAAAGGGGAGAGGGTAGGAGATCTATTTAGGGATTCAGACAACTTAAACTTAGCTCTGTTCTTATTGGCTCCTGACAGCAATCCTTAGATCTGAGAAAACTACTTTTGAATGTTATGAGTTTGGGGGGTTTTCTGGTGAGGGTTCCTCTTAAAAGCTAGGGACACTTACCTGATCTGGATTTAGCAGTTCATATTTTCTTATTGTCTTTTCGTATATCACCTTATTTCCATCTCTTAGAAGTGGAGACAGGGGCTCCTGCAAATATAAAACAACCATTACACGTTTGCATAACAGCACTTGTGTGATTCAAATCATCAGCAGCAACTAAGAAATAAAAGAGGCTGTCTCTATTTGAGTTCCAGATGGAGATGTTAAGTTGGAGTGCAGCGATATTGAGCAGAACATTTTCCCCTCAGGACCGTTTCCTGATGCTGGGGTTTGTTTTTTTCTGCGGGAATTGGGGGAATTCATTATTTTAAAGAAATGCATTGTTTCATAAAATTAACTGGTAACATAATGAACAGATACAACAATAGTTAAATTGGGCGATTAGGGGGAAAACAAAAATCAAAGTTGTAATTAACTTTTTTCTCATGAGACTATCCCTAGGGAGCGCGTATATTTATGTACAGAGCTCTCTACGCAGGCAAAAAATAATAATGTTTGGAGGAATTTTTAGCAGCTTCAGCTTTCTTAAAAAGCAAAATAACAGAAAGTGAGTCGCCATGACTTAAAACCAAGTCCAAGGCCACATTCCCCCATGGGAAGTCTTTTGGGGGCCACCTTCTAGCAGTGGGAGGCACCAGTGGGGAATGTAGGCAGAACAATGGATATGACTCTTCTCTTTAGGTTACATTTCACCCACACAAGAGCCAGGAAGTTCTATATGTACACAAAGCCTCTTTCTACTCTCCATCCTCTGTTCAGGCAAGCAAGGGGCATTGGTAGTGAGGGGTGTGGCCTCAGGAGATTGCTGAGGGTGAGATATGGGCTAAAGGCCTGAGGATCTCCTCCTCAATTTAAAACACTCCATCTGGCTGAGAGAGAGAGAAGCAAGATCCACTTCATTGGTTCTGCTACGAGTTTAGTTAGCATTTGGCTCCTCCTCTCCCTTAACTGCCACCTAGTAGTATCCATTCAATCAGGCTGAAGTGAAGGGAGAGATGGGAAGCAGGGTCCACACCCTCAGTTCACTTGAGGGCTCAGCTTCATTTGAAACCCCCACAACTGTCATCTAGCCACAGATACTCCATCAGGCTACAAAAGAAAGAGTCAAGAAAACAGTATTGGGCCTTCCTCTCTCTGAACAGCTTATTTTCAAGCTGGTCATCATAGGAACTTGATAACTCTACACACTGATGCCTGAGTTTCCTTCTTTTGATTTCTCCTCATCTTTTTTTCCTTTCCTGTTGTGACTGAAAATTTGAGGACTGTTTTGTTTGCTATTGATTTCCCTAGGCGCTTTAGTGGCTAAATATCAGTGTAGAAAGCTTTATTTAATAAACATTTAAAAAAAAAATGTTTACAAGTTATTTCAATGAAATTAACTTCCAAGTAAAGCCTGGGTTTCTTTGCACCGCTTTTTAAGGCTGCAATCCTAACTGTGTCTATTCAGAAGTAAGTCCCATTGAATTGAATGGGGTTTACTCCCAGGAAACTGGAGTTGGGACTGTAGCCTTAGATGGCAATGCTAGACATACTTTCCTGAGAAGACGCCCTTCTGGAAACAATGGAATTTGTTTCTGAGTAAACATGCATAGGAATGTTCTGCAAAGTGTGCCTTGTTGATTGCTTTTTAATCAAAATTTTCAGTTCAACCACTTTTGACTATTTGAAAAACATATATAACATATAAAGGTTAATGTGTCATGGTTGTTATCTTTTCTTTTTTCATTTTGTTTTACTAATAAATATGACATGCTAAATGAGATCTCAGATTAATTCAAGGCAGTGACAAATTTTCAGATTTCAGATTGTTTTGAGGGAATCCTAAATCCCTCTGCTAGTGAGCCTGAATTCACTGCTACTGGCACAAAAGGAAAAAGCTGAAAGGGAAAGGGAATATAAGTATTTGAATGAACCTGTCTGAGTATTAAATTTTGCAAAAGTATATCAAACCATGCCAAACCCCAGTAACAGCTTGGACCCAGCTTTTGGAGAATAGGCGCTGTGGGTTAAACCACAGAGCCTAGGGCTTGCCAATCAGAAGGTCAGCGGTTCAAATCCCTGCGACGGGGTGAGCTCCCATTGCTCGGTCCCTGCTCCTGCCAACCTAGCAGTTCGAAAGCACGTCAAAGTGCAAGTAGATAAATAGGTACCGCTCTGGCGGGAAGGTAAACAGTGTTTCCGTGCGCTGCTCTGGTTTGCCAGAAGCGGCTTAGTCATGCTGGCCACATGACCCGGAAACTGTACGCCGGCTCCCTCGGCCAATAAAGCGAGATGAGCGCCGCAACCCCAGAGTCAGCCATGACTGGACCTAATGGTCAGGGGTCCCTTTACCTTTACCTAACCATTATGAAAGCAACAAAGTTTTCTTACCTGGCCAGGATTCTCCAATATAACCCTTCGGACACTGCCTTGGGAATAAGGAGACAATTTCAAGGACGGAGATTGGACTTCCTGTAGGGAAGAGAGAAGTTAAACATTTAATACTGTATGGCTGTGCAGTAAAATAGAACTCCTCTAAGGGGAGTGGAATCCTCAGTGCCTTTCCTTGAAACCAAGCAAGCAGATTACCCCTTAGCAGTTGGTCAACAGCACTACCCTATGCATATCCATTTAGACCAGTGCTTTCCAAACTTATCATGTTGGTGACACACTTTTTAGACATGCATCATTTCACAACACAGTAATTCAGTTTTACTAGCAAACCGGAGGTTAAACTAACCCCTTTCCAGCCCCAGGAGGAGCATGGGGAGCATCCACATGATACACTTACACACAGCCGACACAAATGTGTTGCAACACAGAGTTTGGAAAGCTCTGATTTCGACGCTAAGCCCCACTAAGTTCAGTGCAGCTTTCTCCCAGTGAGATAGGAGGGGTAGCAAACATGATGCCTTACAGATATTGTTAGACCCCAACCACCATCAGCTCCAGCCAGCGTGAGAAGTAGGTACTGCGTGATTTGTGTAAATGCATGGCAGAATTTGGGCATGTGATGTGTAACTGTTAGTGGGTGAATGTTGCATTTTGTGAATCAGGGTGTGCCTTATCAAAAGAAAGGCAGCGGAAGGAAAGGGCCCTTGATTCTAAAGTTGTTTTCAAAATATGCTGCTATAATTTTGCTTTGTTATCATTATTGTAATTATTACTTTGTTATCATTTAATATTGTACTGCATTGTATTTATATTGTAGTTTCTCAATGTCTTTGTATATACAATTCAAACAAACATACAGCGGTACCTCGGGTTACAAACTCTTCAGGTTACAAACTCCGCTAACCCGGAAGTAGTACCTCAGGTTGAGAACTTCGCTCCAGGATGAGAATGGAAATCGCGCAGCGGCGGCAGCAGGAGGCCCCATTAGCGAAAGCACGCCTCAGGCTAAGAACGGTTTTGGGTTAAGAACGGACCTCCGGAACGAATTAAGTTCGTAACCTGAGGCACCACTACACGGCATTTGTCATTTTGTAAACTGCTTAAGACTGTTTTAAAAATTAAGTGGTATATAAATATACGAAATAAGTAACAAAAGCATATCAATAGCGCCATGTTGGGTATTCCTGGTTAGGGATTGAAGGTGCTGTCAGTTTCGTTTGTCTGTTTCTCATTGTTCCAATATTAAATTCATTTCTTCATCTTTCTACAGCAATTTGCATTACAAAAAAATTCACCAGGATTTTAGTGCAAACGTCTTGTAATAAACAATTTTATGTGTCACACAGTTTCGAGTAATTTTTGCAAGCATTTTTTGTTGTTGTTGCTAATATTTTGTCATGCTATTTCCGCTAATATATTTGTTAAGCACACTTTCCCCTAAAATATCCCTTTTGTAAAAATTGCTTAGTTGGAAGAACTGCATCACAAAATTTGGGTATGTGCAGATTTCCAAGGATGGGTATACTTCGGCTCTCATATTGTTTGGGAATGTGTGGATTTGACACATTCACCTCTACTTCTGGTAGAAAGGATTGCTGCTTAAGGGCTGTTGTAAAAAGAGCATTACCCTGCAATACATTTCTTGGCTATGTACAGAAATCAGTTTGCAAATTCAGTGATGAAAATAAGTTGACACAACCAGAAAGTAGGAGTTGCATTTCTTATGCAAACTGATAAACCTATTGAGAGCAGCTTTAGGGCCCCTCCAAGCCTTGTTGGATAGCTCAGTTGGTTAGAGAATGGTGCTGACAAGACCACGGTTGTAGGTATATTCTGCAACACACATGTTGAGATTCCTGGATTTCAGGGGTTGGACTATGTGACCCTTGGAACCCCTTCCAACTCTATGATTCTGTGTTCTTGATACAATAATAGTGCAATAGTGGTGGATTCCCCACCCCCAGTTTTAATTTGTTCTGTGATGCTTCTCCATTGCTTAACGTTGGCTGGATCATGCCCCCAAATTAGATTTGATATTCTTTATGCTGCCATGACTCATTCCAACCATCAAACTATTGTTTAAAAGCAAGGACCCTGTTTGTTGCATATATATTTTGCAAGAAGGCATGGTCCCTTATTAGATAACAGCCATTTCAAAGTAGGTCAACTGATCTCATGCACAGAATTAGTGCACCTCTCTCTCTCAAGCAAACACACACACACTGTGCGAAAAGCCTGGAGCAACTTTTCAAGCTGCCTCCTATAACAGATGAGTCAGAACAATAATTCGCTGCAGAAAAGGATCTTAACTAAATGCCAATTATTATAAATTAGAAAACCGCAAAGGTAGGAGTGTTGCTGACTTGCCACAGAGGTACAAAGTTGTCTCCCTCCCTCCCTCCCTCCCTCTCTGCCTCCCACAGTTCTTCCAGTTATGATGATAAAAGTTTGCATTAAGTAAAGTAAGCTAAAGTTGGGTGCAGGAACTTTGTTGACAATGCCTCCAAGCTCAATGGTAGCACACAAGCTTGTAGTGCAGGAGGTCGCAGGTTCAGTCCTTGGCTTCTCCCATTCAAAGGACCAAGTCACAGGAAATGTGAAAGACCTCTGCTCAGGACCTTTGCTCTCCAGAGTTTCAAGGCAGGGTTCTCTCCCATCCCCACCTGGAGACGCCCGGGATTGAACCTGTAAACTCCTTCCTGCAAAGTAGATACTCCACGACTGAGCTATGCCCCTTCACCTTTTCTCATCTCTCTCTTCAGTGCCCAGAATCTAAAACCTAAATTATCAGGGCAGAGGCCTGTCTTTTGCTTAAGACTCTTCCAAGAAACACTATGTTGTTTAAATAGACCCAGTATACCTGAAGGAGCGTCTCCACCCCCATCGTTCTGCCCGGACGCTGAGGTCCAGTGCCGAGGGCCTTCTGGTAGTTCCCTCATTGCAAGAAGCAAGCTACAGGGAACCAGGCAGAGTCATAGAATCATAGAATCATAGAATCATAGAGTTGGAAGAGACCACAAGGGCCATCGAGTCCAACCCCCTGCCAAGCAGGAAACACCATCAGAGCACTCCTGACATATGGTTGTCAAGCCTCTGCTTAAAGACCTCCAAAGAAGGAGACTCCACCACACTCCTTGGCAGCAAATTCCACTGTCGAACAGCTCTTACTGTCAGGAAGTTCTTCCTAATGTTTAGGTGGAATCTTCTTTCTTGTAGTTTGGATCCATTGCTCCGTGTCCGCTTCTCTGGAGCAGCAGAAAACAACCTTTCTCCCTCCTCTATGTGACATCCTTTTATATATTTGAACATGGCTATCATATCACCCCTTAACCTCCTCTTCTCCAGGCTAAACATGCCCAGCTCCCTTAGCCGTTCCTCATAAGGCATCGTTTCCAGGCCTTTGACCATTTTGGTTGCCCTCCTCTGGACACGTTCCAGTTTGTCAATGTCCTTCTTGAACTGTGGTGCCCAGAACTGGACACAGTACTCCAGGTGAGGTCTGACCAGAGCAGAATACAGTGGCACTATTACTTCCCTTGATCTAGATGCTATACTCCTATTGATGCAACCCAGAATTGCATTGGCTTTTTTTAGCTGCTGCGTCACACTGTTGGCTCATGTCAAGTTTGTGGTCAACCAAGACTCCTAGATCCTTTTCACATGTACTGCTCTCAAGCCAGGTGTCCCCCATCTTGTATTTGTGCCTCTCATTTTTTTGCCCAAGTGCAATACTTTACATTTCTCCCTGTTAAAATTCATCTTGTTTGTTTTGGCCCAGTTCTCTAATCTGTCAAGGTCGTTTTGAAGTGTGATCCTGTCCTCTGGGGTGTTAGCCACCCCCCCCAATTTGGTGTCATCTGCAAATTTGATCAGGATGCCCTTGAGTCCATCATCCAAGTCGTTGATAAAGATGTTGAATAAGACCGGGCCCAAGACAGAACCCTGTGGCACCCCACTAGTCACTCTTCTCCAGGATGAAGAGGAACCATTGATGAGCACCCTTTGGGTTCGGTCAGTCAGCCAGTTACAAATCCACTGAGTGGTAGCATAGTCAAGACCGTCAAGGGCCTTCAAGGTAGTGGTGCCCGCCCTGTGGAACGCCCTCCCATCAGATGTCAAAGCAATAAACAACTACCTGACATTCAGAAGACATCTAAAGGCAGCCCTGTTCAGGGAAGTTTTTAATGTGTGATATTTTAGTGTATTTTTGGTTTCTGTGGAAGCCGCCCAGAGTGGCTGGGGAAACCCAGCCAGATGGGCAGGGTACAAATAATAAATTATTATTATTATTATTATTATTATTATTATTAAATGATATACAGGTAACTTGCACCTTGTGCAGGTGTTACTTTCCAGGGATGACGCCCATATGCAAAAGTGTGTATACTCAAATCACCCCTTTTGAACCACCCCAGTGCGAGCAATTTTAACGCAAGGCAGAGAGCTTTGCCTTCTCAGCTCTTGGAGGTTCCTGTGTGAGAACTTGTGGGACCATCTAAGATCTCATGAGAGCCTCCCAGAGCCTGGTAAGCAAACTGCGTAAAGTTGAAACTGCACATGTTAAACACGCGTAAGTTGCAGGTGATCTGTAATTGGAATTGCTTTAACCATTATAAATTACAAGATGTATGTTCCAGTGGTTGCATATCGGGGACAGACAAGTGGCAACAAAGGATGAACCAAACCCTGGCTTTGACCGCTGCCTTCCACCTCCGCCAATGCTTCTTAAGGGCTTCAGAAGGGGTGGGGGCCTGTGCCCCCCCCAGATGATGCTAAATTGCAGCAGCCACCAGCCCCAACCAGGAGGGCCAGTGGTCTGAGAAGATGGGAGTTACAGCCCAGCCCTCCAGAAGTTGTTTGACTGCAACTTCCAACAACCCCAGTTGGGATGGTCAATGTCCAGGGATGATGGGAGTTGGTAGCCCATCAACATCTGGAGGTCTACAGGTTTCCCACCACCAGAATCAAAGAACCAGTCTGGCCACCTCCTCCTTATAACTGACTTCATTTTCTGTGTTTAACTTTTTCGGGTATATTCTGCAACATGGAACTAGCACAACCATAGTGCATTAGTAATGGGTTTGTACCAGACTGTCCACACATCATTCTGCTTTATTAGTTGTTCTGTGATGGTCCCCCAACATTACTGCATCTAGAGCAGGACCCTTGCACTATGGCACAACAACAGCCCAGGACAAAACAACAACAACCCTCATTTGTGGTATTAAAAATTACAGGATTTCGGGAGCAATTCACGGGACATACACTGGTAGGAACCAACAAAGTACATCCACCCCAAAACTTCTGCAGGTGCAAAGAGTCTTGAAAGCAGAAGTGCCCATAACCGCCTTGATACCATCACGAGCACAAAGCATCATGAGGACACACGAAAAAGGACTTCTGGAAGGGCTAAAAGATTAAATGGAAGCACGACCCAGTTCTCCAGTCCACTGCTCTAAACTGCCCTACTGGCCAAATTAGGTGTCAGTCATCATATTAAATTCAAACTGTGGCCAATTCTCCAAAAGAATCATGGGAACTGTAGTTTAAGGAAGCTGAGGATCATAGCTCTGTTAGGTGCAAACTACAGTTCCCAAATTCTTTAGGGGTAGCCATGTCCTTTAAATGTATGGTGTGTACACAGCTTGTATCACACTCAGGTTTTTTTTATTATAATAATAACAATAACAATAAACATTTCATTCATATTCTCAAAGCAAACAGTTTTCAGCAGATCCTCATAAACTTGCCCAGACAGCGGCCTGTAGCCTCAGGGGCCTGGGAAATAAAGAAGTCATACTTTTAAGCTTCTCAGCTTAAGCAGAGTAAGCTGCAAAAATTATTGAACCCGTCTCGTATCGGCCCACAAGCTCATATTGGTTGCGGGGAATGAAAGAAGATATTAAAGTTGAATCAAAGTCTAATCTTTGGAGATTTATAAGGATGGGTTTCCAAATCCTGTAGAGAATAAGATACTTAAGAAGCCCTGCGGGGTGTTTCTCTGAACTAGGAAGATGCTTGCCAGTTTCCCAAAGTAAGGAAGGCTTCAATTTTGCCAAACCTGATTCCAGTCAGCTAAGAGCTATTTCACAGGAGGGACTGAGTCCCACATATGATTGTAACAGAAAATGTCTAATGACCATCAGAATTTTGCAAACGGAATTTATGAAAAAGTTAGATCACTTAAGGCCAAACTAGATTAGAAGGGGAGTCTTATCTGTTTACTCAGTGTAGATTTCTCTAGCCTTACCACAAAGCCTGGGAATGAATCTTGACCCACCAGCAACACCAAGTTGACCCACATGTCAATTTTCTCCCAACCACAGCCACCCACCCATTAGGGCTGTGGTATAAATTGATATATTGTCTGATATCGAGTTTTAGATCAAATCGTGATAACCGTTTTTTAAAAAATGATCTTGCAATTTATCGTACCATATTGGCACGAATATAAGCCGCACCTGCAAATAAGCCGCGCCTTTAAAATTCATTGGGGGGGGGAGAGAAAAAAATACAATTCCCGAATATAAGCCGCTCCCTTGAAATTCTGCAGGCACTCACACCTGTAAATGGCAAATGTTCTGTTTTACTGTATGTCTGTTTCAGCAGCAATATCATAAAAGCCAATTTTTGTCACAAACTGAAATCGCACTTTAACTTTTCATGGTTGGAATTTGGGGGAAAATGTGGCTTATTTTAAGGCCAATATGGTATATTGTGTCTGTGGTATTAAAAAATCGCAATACTTGAAAAACCAGGAAGCCGATGCTTCTTCCTGTGTGTGCAGCCCTTGCTCGTAATTCCACCTCAGTCAGCTCTTCCTGCCTCCTGCAACAACATGAAACACCTACAAATCACTACAGCAGGCTGACTAAAATATCGCCCAGCAGATATCGCCAAACAGAGCTTTGGGAACCGGTTAGCAGTCATTGACAACCTTCCTTCTGCCTCCTGCAGGAGAAGCAAATTGGTACAAATTGCAACAGAACCTTTGATATCTATGCTACTAATTACTTCTACAGATTTAATTTTAAAGAAAATGTGCTATTATTGGTACAGTACTACTATAACAGAACACTTGTAACCATATGTTAAGTAAAAACTTATCGGTTTTAGAGCTAGACCGATAAGTACCAGTTGCCAGGACATTACCAGGTTCACCTCTACATAGCTCCAGCCTTATTTCAGATTTCATGATATACTGAAATATCGCAATGTTTAACGGGTGATATATTGTGATGTTGAAAACCAGATATTGCCCAGCCCATCAGCTGCCATTACTTATGATGTCACCTAATGGGAAGGAGGGAGAGGTTAAATCCTGCGTTGACTATGTGTGCCTGTTCCCAGGGCAGCCATCTGAGCAGTTCTGCAGGATTCCCGGCAGACCCATTCCTGGGTGATTAAAGGAGCGGTTTGCATCTCAACCCCCTGCTAAAATGAAGGGGAATAAATTTATTTTTAGTAGCACCTTGCACCATTCAGATTTAGCCCGGAAGCCCAATCCCCATAAGGAACGGGCCCATGGAACCAAAAGGATGCCCTGCCCCTGCCCTGCCAGTGGTGTAGTGTGCCCCGGGCACAAAATGGTTAGGGGGCACAGAATTTCAGCACCCAGTACTGCCTCAGTGCAGCTTCCGTCACTGGACTCCATTGAAAATGGCTCCTCCAAACAAACCAGGAAGTTACCTGTCCAGACAATCTCTACAGCCAATGAAGAAAGCCCCTGCAGTGTGAGGGAATCAAGACTCTCTGGGCAGCTGGGAAGATGGCAATTCCTGCTCAGGCTGCTGCACCGCCCCTCAGACTGCAAATGGCAGAATGCAGCCCATCATGTTCTGTTTAACAGGTTTGCCTAACAGGTAGAGATCACAACTGAGCAGGCAGAGGCAGCCTCTCTCACAAAGCTGATTCCATCAGGCTCGGCTGTTCCATCCAAGCACTGCAACACTCCCAAAGAATGTTAGGGAATTAATATGCATTGGTTTAACTCTCTAATGACCTCCCGTCATTGAAACAGCCCATGAGGGGGAGCTTGTGGGCTACCCTCACAAAGACCTCCACCACCATGCCCAGCAGCTAATCCTCCCACAGATTCAGAGCAGAGTCTGAATGGCACGATTTGAAGGAATGGAGGTGCATTCACGAGGCATGTTGGCGGTGCTAGCCCATGTGGCCCCGTTGCCTTCCATGTCCTTTCCACATGTGGATGGGATCATCTCTTTTGTATTAATGGGAGCCTAGGTCTGAGGGGTGGATCAACAACATGGCAGGTTCAAAAAACCAAGGCAGAACCAAGGAGGCAGCATGCACACCCTAGAGCAAGCCCACCCATGTAAAACTAGCAATACTACCCAAACTCAAAAATGGTTCGAAGGTCAAATTTAATCGGTTTCAAAATGAGCAGGTCTGTAACAAGCATGGGTCTCTGGGTCTCTCTCTCTCTCATGCAAAAAAAAATATTACAGGATTCTGGGGAGATGGCAAACATTCAGCTGAGTATATACTGTGGGTTTTGGCAAATAGTGAGACAATTATGTTTTCCAAGGGGCAAGTTTGCCCATTCCTATGTAAAACATACAAATCTTCTGGAACTGCATCACTTCAAGACGCAAGGTAGCAGCAGGGTTATATTATTAAATCAGTGGTAGACAACCTGGCACCCTCCACATGACATCAGATTACAACTCCCATCAGCCCCAGCCAGCATAGTTGCTGGTCTGGGATGATGAGAACTGTAGCCCATCAAGATCTGGAGGGCTCCATGTTGGCCATCCCAGGGCCAGCCCACTCGTGAGGCAAGGTGAGGTGACCACAGAGGCAGCAGAACCCAATGTTCTTTATTCCCCCTTTGTTCCTGATGTAGGTCTTCACACATCCTTTCTTCTCTGACAGGGAGGGCAGCACCATTTTGTGGTACGCCTCGGGTACCAAAATGTATTTGGCCAGTCCTGGTCATCCTTGTACTAAATGCTCCCTCACATGGAAAACAAAACAAAACCCTGTCTTTGATAAACTAGTCTTTCCTTTCTCTTCCTTGCATTATAGTTTTTTTGGCTCCAAGCATCTGAGCACCTGGTCCCCAACTTGTTTTCGAAACTGACATAATCCAAAGATAGTTGTACACTGACTGCCTTCAAAACGGTAAAGAAAGTAGCAGTCTGACTATGTAGAACAGACACTCCAAACCGATGACCTCCCCTGCTCTTGAGAGAGATTTTTCTGGCACTACTAGTTGGACAACATATCTGAGCTTTGAGACTCGCATTCCACTCCTTTCATTTCAATTTTGACCTGGCTGAATAACGTTGCCAATGCATGGAGCAGATCCCTCACCTGCAACCACTTCAAACTGTTCCTTCCCAATCCTCTCCTCCCGAGTAGACCATGTACACTTTGTGGAAACTCAGGAGCCAGTTAATGCTGATGGCATTCAGTTCCTCCCCAGATGACAGGTAACATTCTGTGAGTTACCTATCAAATGAACCATCTTTTCTGGCAATAGCATATTGCAAACATGCAATATGCCTTCAATTGGGGATTGATAGAAAGTGATGTTCAAACAGGTTGCCATCCTGAGAAATGGCAGTTAAGACAGGGATGGGAGACAAATTTTCCATCTTTCCAGGGTCACATATCAATTGTGGGCAGGGCCAGAGGCATTATTACTAGTGTGGTCTAAAGAAGACAGACACACAGGACAGCTTAGTCAGTAAAGTATGAGACTCTTAATCTCAGAGTTGTCAGTTTGAGCCCCATGTTGGGCAAAATATTCCTGCATTGAAAGGGGTTGGGATAGATGAGCCACGTGGCAACTTCCAACTCTATGATTCTGGTTGTTGGGTTGGCATCTTTTTTGCCGCCATCCCCCACCCCTTTATCTCTCTTTCTTGCATTCTTCTGTGCCTCTGCAAACACTTGAGAAAGTTTCCCGGGTTGATTTATCCTTGCCATGCAAACATTATAAGGCCCAGGAGCTCAGACAGAAAGGTCAGACCAATCAACATTTAAGAGCTGCAGCCATCAGCACTGAACTTCTCTGCAACCTTCAAAGGGCCATATACTTGTGAATGGCCTGGGCTTTGGAGTTCTGGTAGATGAGAAGCACACACTTCACTCATCATACGGAGACTAAGGGCAAAAGCCGGTAGAGCAATAAGTGTTAGTTTTGGCTTTGCGCCACAAGCTAGTGTCTATATGCAATGTATTAGGGCCGCCCCTACCATTAGATGGAGTGAGATGGTTACTGTTAAGTTGTGGGTAAACATATCAGATGACACAGCGATTCTTCAAACAGCTCTTGTTTATTCACAGGCCCAGAACAGAACAGGGCTGAAGGGTTCAGCCAACCTGCTTATATAGAGCTCAACTACAAAGCAACAGTAACAACTTTCTGTAACTATCCAATCACTGAACATCACTTTCAATTCCTTATTTGCATATGTGGACCTGAGTGAAAACTATCTACAGTATCCCCCTGCTGGCCCAGGGTGAGAACTTCAGTACATAACAGTTGCCTCAGGCAGCTGATTTTTGGGGCTCGTGAAAAGGCAGCAAATTGCTACTTCTTTGAATTGCTGTTGTTTACTCCCCAAGAGGAGGACTTGTGGGTTTTCCATCTCAGCCATGAAAATGAATAGGCTGGCCTTGGGCACCTGGGCACTCAAGGTGTACCTTGAGCTGGGGGGACGGTTGGTGCCATTTGCTTCTCTGCTCTAGACCGCAAAATGTTTTGGGTTGGTCCTGAGGTGTCACAAGTTTAGCTGCAATGAGATTCTATTATTGTTATTAATATAGGAAGCTGCCTTATAATGCATATTAGGAGCAATAATAAGATAAATTAGGAACACAGAAGCTGCCTAATACTGAGTCAGACAATTGGTCCATTGAGCTCAGTATTGTCTACACGGACTGGTAGCAGCTCTCCGGAGTTTTAGGCAGCCCTACCTGAAGATGCCAGGGATTGAAGCTAGAGCCTTCTACATGCAAAGCAGCTGCTCTAGCACTGAGCTACAGCCCTCTCCCCAGTAATAATATTGTGTGTACTATCAATAAGGAAAACTTACAAAGTAGGAAAAACACTCATAAATTAAGGCTGTGATTCTAAGTAAACATATTAGGGAGGAACCCTCAATGAATACATTGGGACTTATTTATTGATCGTGCTGTAAGTTCCTTATGACAGTAAGGAAACATCTACAAGATATGACTAGGTCTGATATATAAACCATAGTTTGTGCTAAAAGAGTTTTGATATATTGAGTCTATAGCACTGACAAGATTTCTGTTCAAATGCTCTCTTTCAGATAAGCAGAAACTAGATTCAGGATGACCTTTACTACTTCTGTAATGAGAGAGCATTCATCTTCAGTTTTTAGAATGTCAAAAAATGTTCAACTCTGGCATTTTAAGCTCCAGTGACAAAGGCCAACCAGAAATATTGATTTTCTATAAATCTCTCTCTCTGGGTGCAGAGATCAGAATGCGACAAAAGGGTTGGGGGAGCAGAAAGTTTCAAATTCATAGAATTTTTAGACACCCGGGTGACCGGGTGAGGATTTTTCCAGACACAACAGAAGAGCATAAACAAAGAACTCTCCGAGACAACACTTCATCTTAAGGGTGCAGGAAAACTAAACTTATTTTAGTAGCCATAGAAACACACCTGCTGCATTTTGTTTCAGACTTGTCTCCAAGACTGAGCTGGGGAAACAGGTTTTGTCTGTTTTTAGGAGCTGGCTGAGCACTGACTGGCCGGTACCTGTGATGCCACAAACCCATTCCTTCAGTCTAGAGCAAATAGTATATGTGTGCGTGTTTTAAAAGTTGCCAAATGATCTTCAAGAAAAAGGCAGACACCTAATGCATGGAGGGAAGGTTCAACAGTGACAATGATTAAATCAGCATTGAAGTTGGTGTCAGCTTTGTCAATGGCAAAGATGGGGAAGGGTTAAAAGCTCCTTGTTTTCTTGTTTTCTGCTCCTTGTTTTTGTACACAGCATAAATGAAGTAGTTCCAAGTGCCCTAGACTAGTTCCCGGTTAATGAGCCAGAGGCATAAACTGTACCTACCACATTGCCAGGTGCAATGCAGGCAAGCCAGATCCTATTTATCTGAATGGGATTAGTGTACTAAGCAATGCCATTTTCATACGTCCCATGCATTAAACATTGTATGCAATGCTTAGAGCAGATCCGTTAAAATTCATGAGCATGACCAGGTTCATTAATTTCAATAGTTCTACTCGGAGCAGAACTTAGTTGCAAACAACCCTATGTTATGAACATCACCAAAGTGTGTATCTCTCTAGGGTCATCAGTGCTGATGATGAAGGGCCTTCGGTTTGATAACTGGGATTAGATATTACCATTGCAATGCAGAAACATAACACAGATTATAATATTAGCTCTGTCTGGGCCTCACAGGATATATAGCATGGGCCTTCTTTTCTTTTCTTTTTAATTGCTTTTTAATTTCAAATAACAAAACATACCCATACAAGGAGAACAGAGCTTATTAGTTGTTTGCCATTTGAGGTTAGGCATTGCTATACTTCTTTCTTGACCTTTTAAAGGGTTTTATGAGGTAGCCGAGGCCTCTTGCTTGCATGAATAAAATTCAGTATTATTTTTTGCCAATTATTCACATGAGAGACAGGTATGCTTGTTGGCAGTGTTATTTTTCTAGAAAAAGAGGTGCCAGAACTCACCATGAACACCTACCTCTCTTGTTCTCTTAGCATGGCAATGGCACCCACCTGAGAGGTGCCAGAACTGAGTTCCAGCGAGTTCCAATTTTAAAAAAGGCCCTGCTGCTGGTAAGACTTGGAATAAGTAAAGAAGGTGCAGAAATTGAATCTTTTTTGTTGTAGAAACTATGCCCAACCATGAGACTGTGAGCTTTGACCAATTTTTGAGCTTAGTTGTTAAATATTTTAGCAAGTGAGAAAAGTTCAATTTCTCTAGTTAAGACAGATTATTCAGTACATTCTCTCTCAGGTATTTAAAAGAAGCACTACAGAGTTTCAAGCCAGTTGTTTTGTGCCAATGCAGTTGTTGGTTTGGCAGGTTGTGTATCAATTCAGATTTAGTGAAGCTATCAGTGAACCCAAATATCTTGCTATATATAGCAAGTTGGTGCATAATAGAAGAAGAAGAAGAAGAAGAAGAAGAAGAAGAAGAAGAAGAAGAGGAGTTTGGATTTGATATCCCGCCTTTCACTCCCCTTCAGGAGTCTCAAAGCGGCTAACATTCTCCTTTCCCTTCCTCCCCCACAACAAACACTCTGTGAGGTGAGTGGGGCTGAGAGACTTCAAAGAAGTGTGACTGGCCCAAGGTCACCCAGCAGCTGCATGTGGAGGAGCGGAGATGCGAACCCGGTTCCCCAGATTAGGAGACTACCGCTCTTAACCACTACACCACACTGGCTCTAGCAGGTAACAAGGTTTCAGGATCAGAAAGGAATAGTGCAACACCATCTGTGAACATACTGATAAGAGCAAAAAGCAGGGGAGGTAGTCAGCAGCCTTGCTTCATGCCCAGGTCAATAGGAAATGTTGAAGAACATTCCCCATTCATTAAAACTTGGACCACTGACCCATAGTAAAAATTATAAAGCATATCAACCCAGGATGCACTAATACAAAAGGAATGTAGAATTTCAAAGAGATATTACCAGTCTAAACAATCAAATGCCTTGACTGCATCCAGCATCAGCAGAACAGTAAGTTATGGACTTCAGAAAATTGTACAGTGGTGCCCCGCAAGACGAATGCCTCGCAAGACGAAAAACTCGCTAGACGAAAGGGTTTTGCGTTTTTTGAGTCGTTCCACAAGACGAATTTCCCTATGGGCTTGCTTCGCAAGACGAAACGTCTTGCGAGTTCTTGCAAGTTTGTTTCCTTTTTCTTAAAGCCGCTAAGCCGCTAATAGCCGTGCTTTGCAAGACGAAAAAACCGCAAGACGAAGAGACTTGCGGAACGGATTAATTTCGTCTTGCGAGGCACCACTGTACTGAGAACTCCTCTAATAGGAAGGCCATGGATCTTTAACTTATGAATTTGACTTCATCATGGTGGACATAGTTGGGTAAAATTTCTGAATGCCTACTAGCCTACTATGCCTGTAAATAATTTAGCATCCATGTCAATCAATGAAATAGGTCTTTATGATTCAACTTATTTGAGGTCTTTTTGTGGTTTGGGTATAACTATGATAACTGAGGTATGGCTTCTTATATCTTTGAAGTTCAAGTACATTAAGAGCTATGAATGAAAACAAGCAAGAGCTGTAGCAAAATGTCAGACCCTCCACATGTTCTTATTTTCCAGGGACAGTCCTGGATTTACTGAAGCTGTCTCAGTTTCTGATTTGATCCCAGAATGTCCCACTTTTCCTTACAACATCCCTATTTTCATCGGAGAAATGTTGGAGGGTATGAAATGTTACAGTGCAGACTGCACATGTTTCAGGGTCCCAGCCTGTCAGACATGTCTTATTCCAGGATAATCCATCTCATTCTTTCTCCCTTGTTTTTCATCCCCGCTTAGAGTCAGTGAGCCATCATTCTGCAAACAGTAGGGTTTTTCACTGAGCCTGCTGCTACTTCCTTTTTATTGTGCTTGAACGGTGCCACTTTGACTTCAGACAGATCCACAACCAGAGAATGATTTTTCTGTTAATATATACAGGATGATACACAAGCTGCATTTACGCCCAGTTGCTCAGTCAGAAGCAAGCTGACTCTCTCCTTCCAGAGTACTGGCCAAAAGGGGCAAAGACAATGGGATATAAATGCCAAATGCAAGGTTCTGAAATATCTATGATAGGTTTTGTTTCATGCCCAGCTTGTACAGAGAGAGGTTACAGATGGACAGGTTCAACACACCAAGATGTTAAGAAAGGCTGCAGACTAGCTCAGTAGCACAGTATCTGCCTATCATGAAAAAAAAATCCTAGGTTCAGTCCCCAACAGCTCTGGGTAGATCTAGGAGGGAAAACACTCTCCACTGCCAATCAGTGCGGACGATATTGAGCTGAATGGTCCAAGGATCTGACTCAGAACAAGGCAGCTCCCTATATCCCCATGAGATCCATATTTAGCACAAATGTAAACTCTACACATGCTTTCTTCTCTGTTGCACTTTGTGTAATTTTTTAATGACACAAGAATTCAGTGCAATAAGACGATTCAGCTGCCAAGAATTACTCAGAGGTGGAATGGGTGGGCAATGTGAAGCGGGAGTGGAAAAGGATGGCTTGGGCAGGAGCAAGAGAACTGCTGGTGAGGTACCATCCCCTGGCCTCTGGGAACAACTGAAGTCACATCCACACACGGAAACCTGGTGCTTTACATGTATGGCGCAGACGTCACCAAAGTCTGTGGCTTTCCCCAGTCACCAGCTTCCATGATTTCCCCTTCTCCAGATGGAGTGGGCTGCCATCTGAAAGGTCAATTGTGGAGGAAGGAAAAACCCATGCATCTGACAAATCCACCAAATGCAGTTGCAGGGAGTTACCCTGCCTGACATTTTGAGTTGGCATGCCTCCTTCCTCGCAACATAGGGACAGCCCAAAAAGCTGATGTGGCACAACACACCTACACAAGTTGTTGTTGTTTTTTTAAATCATGTTTAGCGTACAAAACATTATTTCCTTTGGAATTAGCAGAAACTAACTTTCCACAGTATACTGAGTACTTGCCCCCTGATTTTAACTAATAGCCACAGTAGAGTTATCTGGTTTGCATGCCAAAGGTCCCAGCTTCAATCCCTGGCATCGCTTGGTAGGGCTGGGGAAAGGCCCCCCCCCCCATCTAAAAACTTTGGAGAGCCACTGCCAGTTAGTTCACACATTACACTAAACCAAACCATGGTTTAGCATGAACAAGAGAGCATGCTGGCTCCCAAGACGCCGATCGCTCCTCCCTGGCTGTTCTGCTGCTGAGCTAAGACATGGCTGACTAGGCGTGATGTGAAAACCAGGCTAGGCGAGTAGAGTTGGCAACCTGTAGCTTAGATGGACCAAAGGTCTGACTCAATAAAAGGCAGATTCCTTTGATCCTATGAACAGTAGCAATTCTGAAAAAGCAGATTTGGATAAAATTGTTCAGATCAGTCAGAATCCAATTATCCTCATTGGTGGTTGCATATGAAACTGTTGCGCAGGCAAAACCTTTAGATGTAGTTAGCAAATCACAAAGCCCTGCAGCTAACCCTGAATGGACTGTCCCCTGAGCAATCTTTAAACATTGTGCTACTGCAAGTAATTGTAAATTTCATCATACAGTACTCTCCCAGTTCTGCCTTCTAACATCTAGATGAAAATTGGCCCTATTGTTTTTTATTGTTTTTTAGTATCGGAATATACTATAAACCAAAAAAGTCACCTTCAAAGATATAAGGATTGTCTTCTTTCTGGTAACTATTTCGGATTCAATGTTAAGGAACTAGTGTGTCTTGAAGGCCGATAGCAGCCTTTCCCAACCTGGTGCCCTTCTGACGTTGATGGACTATAATTCCAATCAGCCCCGACCAGCACGGCCAACGCCTTCCAGGGAGAAGAATGAGGAAAGCTGGTCTATGTTATGCTCATTTCTTTCATGCTGTTCTTACTGTCCTGCCTTTCCTTCTCAGTGAAAACACTACATTGCTTTTATCATAGTCCAAAGTCCACTGACCATGGAGATAACACAACACATACAGATTATCCATTTCACAGGAAAAGATATTTCAAGTTGTTCCAGAGAAACAAATTGAACTTCCTCTGTACCAAATATTATGTTCCCTAAAGTTATTTCCCAAAGGCGTGTCCAGACACAAATCCAGCAGGGGGTCATAGAACATGTTCAACTCCTTTTTTTGGGGGAAAGGACATAGCTCAGTAGTAAAGCATCAGATTTGCATGAGGAAGATCACAGGTTCTTTTCCCTGGCATTTCCAGGTACAGCTGGGAGAGACCAATGTTTGCAACCCAAGAGAGTGAGGGCTTATGGAAGCTGGAGTATAACAACTGGATTTGATTCCCCATCACCTATGAAGTCCACCAGGTGACAATGGACCACTTGCTGTCTAACATACCTAACATACCTCACAGGGTTGTTGGGAAAAATCAAATGGACCAAATGAAGAATCATGCATGCCATCTTGAGCTCTTTGGAGGAAAAGTAGGAAATAAATGTTTCTATACTAATAACAATTCCCACTGTCAACAGCTTACTATATCTTGTTGGTGCATCAACATAAACAGACACTATCTTCCCTTCTTCACCCTATGATCTGGCTCAGACAGAATTTGCTTTTCCCTAGGCAAACAGGCAGCTGTGTTTACCAAGGCCTGTGGGCTTTTCGCTCCCACTCATGCCTGTGGGAGGTGAATCGTTTCCAATACAAATGTGCACATGGACTCAGCTACCACACACACACACACACACACTATCCCTGAAATAAAGTTGTGTTTGTGAAAATATATTTTGGGTCAAGTCACCAATGAAAACTGGAAACTGAATTGGTTGTAAGCGGATTGCAGTTTCTCACAGAACTGTAGCGTTGGAAAGGTAGGGTCATATAATCCAACCCCCTGCTCTTAAATACTTTTTATTCTGTGACCATTCAGCAGTTATGAATGGATTCCTCCCGATGATTTAGATGGGATAGCTCAGCTGGATACAGTTCAGCACTGGTAATACCAGGGTTGCTGGTTAGATCCCCATAAGGGAGTGCTGCATATTCCTGCATTGCAGGGGGCTGGACTAGATCAGGGGTCAGCAACCTTTTTCAGCCATGGGCCGGTCCACCGTCCCCCAGACCATGTGGGGGGGCCGGACTATATTTTGAAGGGAAAAAAATGAATGAATTCCTATGCCCCACAAATAATCCAGAGATGCTTTTTAAATAAAAGGACACATTCTACTCATGTAAAAACACACTGATTCCCGGACAGTCCGCAGATTGAGAAGGCTTTTGGGCTGCATCCGGCCCCCGGGCCTTAGGTTGCCTACCCCTGGACTAGATGCCGCAAGGTTTCTTCCAAAGCTATGGTTCTATGAATCCTACTGATATCTCCCTGGGAATTAAGTCCCATGGAACTCAATGGCCCTTAAATTTGAAGAAGACACAGGTAGGAATTCACAGGGACAATTTCCAACAAGCAAAGCACCACAGACCAAGGCTATAAATGCAGAATTTGACAGGGAGATGAGCCACCAACCCAAGGGGATGCGGTGAGTCAAAAATTTTCCTTGCCGTTTAACATTATGCCCCCAAAAGTTAGCAAGTGCTTAATCTTGGGGATCAGGGTGAGCCTCATTGATTAACACAGCTGTGTTCTAATCAGTAACCTCCCCCACCCCCAAAAAGGGTGCCAACTTGAATAAAATATGGGCAGGAGGGGACAGGTAAGGCCTGCCCCATATGATCAATCACACACCATTTGAATGACAATGACCATCAACTTGGGGGGCAGCCCCCTCAAATGTTTTATGGGGGGGCAATGGACCTCGGCCTCCAAGGAGCTGCCTCCTATGCCCCCCCCCATAAAAAGACCAATTGATAAAATGATGCTGGACAAGGAAACTGATAAGAGAGGAAAATGAATGCAACTGCCCTTTTGGACACGTTTGCCCTTACCTCGGAGGGGAGTGCATTTGCTAAGCGTAACGCGTGAAAAATGAGCCACGGAGGAAACCGGGTTGGTGACCAAAATAGTAAAGTCGGAAACCAAGCCCCCTATAACCCTCCGAGTGACGCCAGCGCCCTTCGACGGGGCGGGAAGGAAAACCATCATTTACCTGCAGCGGGGGGTCGCTGCTCCAGATGACGTGCTGGCAGCCCGGGGTGGTCTCCAAGGGGGAGGGCGCACGAGGCAAGCAGTTGGGCGGGTCCAGGAGCTGCACGCGTTTCCCGCCGGGGCTGCTGTAAGTCCGGACGCGTTCGTAGACCACGCTGCCTCCGCTGTGGCAGCCGTCCTGGGAGCAGGGCACCGGGTCTGGGCACTGCAGGGGCATCGGCAGCGGCGCGGGGCGGTTCTGCCGCGCGCGGGGCAGCGTGGCTGGGAGAGGGACCGGGCACGTCTGCTGGGGCAGCGGCCGGGACACCGACGGCGGGCCGCACGGCTCGTAACAGGGCCTGGCGGTCACCACCGGCGGCTGGGCCGGGCACGTCTGCGGGGGCAGCGGCCTGGGAATCGTCGGAGGGCCGCAAGGCTCGAAGCAAGGGCGGGAAGGGGCCGGCGGTGGCGGCACGTAGCAGGGGGCCGGCGCGGGCGGCACGTAGCAAGGGGCCGGCGGGGTGTAGCAGGGCTGCGGCGGCCGCATGCACGGCGGCAGCGTCGTCGCCTGGGTTTGTTGCTGGATGCCGTACATGGCTGGCTCTGGCTGGAGGACCGTCGAGGGAAGCTGGCGGGCTGGCACTGGCCGGGCAGGTGCGCCGGGCGTGGGGTTAGCAGGATGGGCCGCCCTCGCCGCTGGGGACACGCCTGCCGCGCCGTCGTGGCTCAGCTCACCTGAGTCCGCTCCGCCCCGGGCACAGAGCCAGACCGCCAGGAGGGAAACGGGCAGGAAGCCAGGATCCCAGGTGCCAAAGCAAGCACCCGCCCGGGCAACGCTCTTGCTGCCTCCGCGCCAGGCGAGAGGGGACTTTGGCCCTATTGGAGGCGCGGCTACGAAAGCCGACAGTCGCTTCCACCCCGCCTCTCCCCACTCGTCTCTTCCCTTTGCTTTAATGCTGTTTTCTTTAGAGTTACCGTGGTTTCTTACAAATCAATAAATTACTTAGTTTGTTCGTTCTCTCTTGGCCAAGAATCCGTTCTTTTTCTTCTTCTTATTATTAATAATAACACTTTCATGCCTTTTACACGCCCACCCACTTGGCAAAAATCCGCCCTGTGAACAGCAGGGCGCCACCTTCCTCCAGGCGAAGGTCAACGGTGCGCCTGTCCTGCACTCGCCACTGTCATTTGGGCCGCTCCTCTCCCCCAGTCTAGGTTCATCTGAAAAGCAAAATACCTCCGGTGCAAACTTATAAGCAATTTTGCGTATCGCGTGTAATACTCTTCTTCCCGTATAAGGACTGCTTAAGCTTTGCTGTCCGTTGAGTTCATTTGGGATTAGTTCCAAGCATAGGAGCAAATTTCTAGGGGCCACTCCACGGGGCCGAAGTCCCTTCGCCTCCCCCAATAAAATATTTGAGGGGGCCTCTCCCCCTGCAAAAATTGGTGAGCATTGCCACTCAAATAGTGTCTAAAATTCTATTAGTCTAAGCCGCCTGAATAGTATCTTGTGGCAATGAATTCTATATGGGTTTCCCATGGGCCTCTGCCTGTGTGAACAGGACTTCATGGACCATTGACCTGATTCAGCAGACTGAATATTCTTAATTCTTCCAAGTTACTTTGCTATGAGTTACACATTTTTATTTTTATATTACATTTCTAGCCTATCCTTCCTTCCAAAGGAGCCCAAGGTTGCAAACATCAAAGAGTTAAAACAATGCAATTCAAAATAATAAAAAACACACTTTTAAAACATTTTTAAAACCCCAGCTGAAAACATTTGAACATCTAAAGAAATTTACAAACAATCACATGCCCTCACAGTTGCTAATTTGAAGGTTGCCATGGCCAGTATCTTTCAGCCATCAACTGTTTGGGTAGACAAGACTGGAGTTTCACTTTTGCTGAAAGTCGAAAGTGATGATCAAGACACTAGCACAGGGAAGCATTCCACAGATGGAATTGCCACCGAGAAGGCCCTGTCAAGGGGGAGCACCTCCATATAGCACAGGAACATGGAAAATAAAGTTCACTGGATTATTTGGGGCCAGCCAAATGCCCAATGTCATTTGGTAGAATGCCTACTTTCCAGATCACAGTCGACACTGGTCAGGTTGAATCAGGGGTACTGTGTCCAGTTCAGGATGCTAAATTTTAAGAGGGACATTGATGAATGGGAGCATGTCCAGAGAAGGCGAAAACAGGGCCTGGAAACCAGTTCCCATGAAGAACAATGGAAAGGCTTGGAATATTTATCCTAGAGAAGGGAAGGTTAAGGGAGGAGACATTCTATGGTCCTCAGATATCTGAAGAAAAGACTTGTTCACTGTTCCTCAAGAGGACATATCTAGAACAAATGGGGGGAAATTCAGCTATTCCTTCTAATGACTTTTGGAAATAGATCTATAATGAATTTTAAAAAGATGTTTAGATATACCTTTCCCCAAAAAACTGGAAGCATTTTTGCTAGGTTTGATGGGAGAGGCAATTACGAAGATGGATCAAAGACTATTTATGTATGCCACAGCAGCAGCGAGAACTTTAATGGCCCCAAAGTGGAAGTACCTACGATTGCAGAGTGGCAGGCAGAACTGGCCAGACTGACCTGCAGAATTCAAGACCAGGACGATCAAAAATTTCAAAGGGACTGGAGTAAATTTATTGTTTATCTGAATCATACAGTAATTGTAAAAATTTGTAGACAGTAGCAGGATTGAAATAAATACTACAATTCTTTCTCCTTCTGTGTTGGAACTCCTATTTGGGGACTTTCCTGGGTTTTTTCTGGCCCATGTAGATAGGTAGTCTTGGTGAAGACTTGACGTTTTCATCCCCAAAAAAGTTTTTGATTGAGTTTCCACTGAAATGAGGCTGCATTTTAAAGTTTTAATGTGTTTTAATCTTGTTCTTTTAAGCTGTATTTCAATCAATTGTTTTTATATTTGGTGTTAGCCGCCCTGAGCCTGGTTTTGGCTGGGGAGGGCAGGGTATAAAAGTATAATAAAGTATTATTATTATTATTATTATTATTATTATTATTGACAATAGATGAAAGAACTAAAATGCAAGACAGGATTTGAAAGTGGAAAACCTGCTGAAAGGAGGAAGGGAAGTCGCATGCTCGGTAGAGCAGAAAGTTTTATGTTTGTTATTGTATTGTTGAAAGTATTGTTTAAGGAAGAAAATAATAAAAATATATTTGAAAAAAGAAAAAAGAAAAGAAAACTCCTAATGGCAAGAGCCATTCAGCAGTGGAGCAAACTGTTGTGGGAAATGGTGGGTTCACCTTTGCTTCAAATATTTTAAGCAGAGGCTGGCTGGCCCACCTGTCAGGGATGCTGTAGAGGCATTCTGCACTGAAGATCCAGCACTGAGCCGTGGGTCAAACTAGATTACCTTCAAGGTACCTCCTGACTCTAAAATTCTGTGATGCATACTGATAGTGCCTCTTTCTCGGTAAGTCCACTGGCCCCGATGCTGTTGGCATGGGGACACTGAATTTGCTCTTAAGAAGGAGTGATGCAAAACAGAGAGAACCACTTGCACTGGATTTATGCCAGGAAATAAGAGGTGCTCAAACTTTTTAAAAAACAAATGAGCAACCCGCCCCCCCCCCCCCCGCAGTTCAGCAGGACTGGCTTACCACATTTTGAAGGCACTGAAGTAGTGCCCGTTGCCATCTAAAGAGCTGCCCCGCCACACCCCCACAAGCATTAAGATCATACCCTAAAATTACATACCTAAACCAATTATTACTATCACATATTTTCCCCCGAATTCTTGCAAGAGACTGACAATGGCTTCTGCCTCATGTCAGCTTTTAAAGACAGCTGTTTATCGGCATGCAATGGCTGCACTGTTATTATATCCCCATATCTTGAAGCAGGCAATGCAAATTAGTTATAGTATTCATTAAAGCCACACGAGAGCAATCCTATAATAAGTGTGTATCCTTTTCATATGCAGTTTACCAGACACTGCTAGAGAAATGCTATTTGGGAAGGTAAGGATGGTGTGAATTAAGTGGCTATAGTGTTACGTTGCGCAATACGTCAAGTGTGAGGGACCTTGGGCCCTCCAGGTGTTACTAAACTACAACTCCCATTAGTCCCATGAGCCATGCTTGCTAGAGCTGATGGGAGTTATAGCCTCTGGGACACCGCAGGGGGCGCCACAACTATGATGTAGAATGGAAGGTGAGAGGCAGGGGAAGGGGGCAAATTTTGGCATCGCACAGGGCAATGCTGACATTTGAGACCCCAAGCAGAAGGTGCCAGTTTCAATCCCTGCTGGCACCTCCATATGGCCAAGAAAATTCACCGACATCTTAAGTGTGACTTTCTCCTGATATACACATTTTCATGTGCAGTTTTGCCTAACACACATTTTTTCCAAAGCAATATTTTCTAATATAATTGATTTTTGAATGATATTTTTTCCACTAACACATACATTTTTCACCCTAGCACATGCTGTTTACTACACATTTCTTGGCTGGAGAACTGCATTGCAAAATCAGAGATGTGCCCGTTTTAAATGATAGCTCTGTTTTGGTTTGCATGTTGCTTTGTTTGGTTTGCAGGTAGGCTTGCTTTTAAATGCAAGCAGAAAAGGAAATTTCAGCAGATGCAGCTGTCCTGATATAATTTGAAGCAGACCCAAAATTGTACCCCACCCTTCTGGTGTTGATCCTCTAATTCAAGCATGTCTAGCAGGTAGATCGTGACTAGTAGATCACTGGACATCTGTGGTAGATCACTGGTAGATCACTGGCTCCCCCCAAGAAGCTCAACAACTTTGGCTCCCCTAAAAAAAAGCTTAGCATTTCTGACCGGCACCCCAAAAACGGGCCTTCCTCCTTCCGAAAAAACCTCAACTAGTTTGACCTGAACCCCCCAAAAGGGGGTAGATCATGTTGTTAAAAAATACAAATGATTGGAGTATTAATAATGGAGAAGTAAATGAAAGAAGTTAATATTATTAGAAATATGAATTTGGAGAACTGCTAATTAGGTGATAAAATGAAATTCAGTTAGAGGGGATTCAAGGAAGTCAGTTGTCAATATAATGAAATTAGGATTTGGAAGTGAAAACTTTTTTAATGTGTTTTTCTTTAATTTTGTGCATTGTAATGTTTTTCTTTCTCTTTTCTCTTTGTTTCTTTTGTATGTGATTAATGTGAAAACTAATAATTTTTTTTGGAAAAAAACAACAAAAGGGGGTAGATCACTGCCAGTTTTTAATTGCGCGGACAGGCGGAGTCCCCAGATCCCGAGCGGTCCCCCCCGTCATGTGGAGTAACGACTCAAGACAACGTGCTATGGGATTAAATTGGCCACAACTTTATTAAATTTCAAATGTGGGTAGACCTTGGCTCAGGCATTGGGCGTTCTCCCTCCCCAGTCCCCAGCCGGGGACCTAGGGAGCTTCAGGGTTATCCAGTGGGGGGGGGATGGGCTGGCTCTGGAGAACATATGTTCAAGCAGAGATAGCGGCCCCCGTTACGCCGCCGCCACAGGGGAGAGCAATGACGACCTTTCGGCGTACAGTCAAAGCCTCCCTTCAGAAACCCCTTTAACGGGGAACCCTGGTATCGCCGCCGCAAAGAGGAAGATGGACTAAAGGATTCCGCCCAAGGCCTGATACCGCCAAAGTTATGACGTTTTGCTACGGGAAAGGCGAAACCTGCCAATGCAGGGAAATTCCTTTCTGGCCCTTTAACAGCAACCTTATCGTAGCAGCGCCCACATACCTGTGAATAAAAGTTAACCTGCAAAGGAAGACATTAACTGAGGGTGGGTAGGGTGGGAGAAGCTCTGGAGCCAAGTGAGGATTCCCAGGTAAGATCCTCTATTGTGTGGGCAGGTAATCCCTCCCCCTACCTGGCCTGGTCTCCTTGGCAACGCTTCCCCCAGGTGGGATTGGACAACTGAC